GTCATTTGCGCGAAATAGGCGCCAAATAAAAATATTTCCATCGAACCAAAGAAAAAGGGGATTAAAACCTGTTTGCCTGCTCAGCGCCACTCTTGGCCCATCTTCAGGTGGCTGTATTAATAAACTCAATTTTGCAAATGGATGAACAGGTTCGACGAGAATATTTTTATTTGGCGCCTATTTCGCGCAAATGACCTGTTAGTCTAGCTTTTGTTCTAGTCGTTATAGCCCGACAGAACGAAACGAATTCTCATTCGAATCTGTCGATGTTTTCTAGTACAGATTGATGTGCTCTATCCATTAATGAGATTATTTCGAATTTTCTACACGGATTAGTGTTCCGGGTTAGTGTTTTGTTAAGAAAGATTAGGAAATACATCACGGGTGTGTCAGCTATTCTCGATCTATAATAAATCCATATTTATTCAAATGCCATCCAAAGCATACATTTCCAAGCTTCTAGATCGTCACGATTAATTTCTTTTTGAAATGTGACTAGTTATTTTAAACAAAATGTTTATCACCTCAACATCCTAAAGGAACAGGGCGAATGGTATCCTTTCATACAGAAACTTTTTTTATAACCTCGTTGACTTTTTTCGCTCGTACGTATTCCGTTAGAGGCAAAGCGATAAAATAAATTAAAATCTTTCACTAATATCAGTTTTTGTCTGAAAGAAAATTTTCTTTTGAAGGTGAACGAATAATTTTTCATCGTCAAAAACAACATCTTTTTAGTGTTTTTCTTTTAAAACCAAAACAAAATGGAATTAAAGGCAAGAAACACCTACAGATAGACTAGATATGGTGCTCTAAACGATGGTGAAAATCCCGAGTCTCTACTATGTATAATTTACAAATGGCAAACAAAATGATAGTGTAGTGGTGGATGCATAATTTTTCATTCCACTGTAATATTAAGCATTATTAGTTTAACTATATGTTCAAGTACTGTAGGCAATTTTCGTTTTATCGATGTCTTATTTCCCTGAACTAATGATAAACATTTGCACAATTTCTCTCAACAGCATCAACATCGTTGATACTTATGAAGGAGAAGCGTTTGACGTATTCAAAGAAACATCTTATTCTCTATTGTGTGTACTTTACTTGATCACCGCTAAGATTTTTAATTTGTTTTTCTTTGTTTTTAGTTGCTTGGCGAATTATTACTTGATCGTTATAATTTTTCTGTGATGACACGCTATATAACAAATACGGACAATTTGAAATTAATGATGAATTTATTAAAAGAAAAAAGCAAGAATATACAATTTGAAGCGTTCCATGTGTTTAAGGTGAGATGCTTACATATATAGAAATTAAAGTTAAATTATAATACAGAACATAAAAACATCTCGATGAATCTATCGAAGATTACTGTTGAATAAACTATTCAGTTATAGGTCGAATTTCAAGTTAGAATTATCACGAACATATTCTATCTCTTTCTCAAACTTTGTCTGATTAAATTAGATTTTTTTTTTTGAGTTTCTAGAAATGCAGAGTTCATATTTCTCTACGAAAAGCTTCTGTTCTCCTGTAAGATTTTTGATTAAAAGGGAAGATACTTTAATTTCGTATTTTAAAAATTTTTAAATTGTTTTAATAAAATACGAAATTAAAGTATCTTCCCTTTTAATCAAATCTTATCTATTTCGTATCAGCCAGGTGTTACTCAATAAGTAGAATTTTTGCTTGAAATTTTGTACTCATTTAGTAACAAACTCCTAACGGAGCACCCGAGCACACATAAATATAGAACATCATTTCTTTATTCTAATCTCTCATTTCTTAGGAAAATGTTTAATCTAATTATATTTGGATATATTCAAACGTTTATTATTTTCTTATATGTTTATGTAATTAATGTTTTTTTTCCCTATTTCAGATATTTGTTGCCAATCCAACAAAACCTAAACCGATCGCCGATATTTTATTACGTAATCGTGATAAATTAATTGACTTTTTAACTACTTTTCATACGGATCGTACAGATGATGAACAATTTAATGATGAAAAAGCTTATTTAATTAAGCAAATAAGTGAATTGAAAGATATGAAAATTTGATCATGAATAACAACAACAAATTAAAAATACATTGTCGTTATCTTTAATTTATTTTTTTCTTTCGTCAAAAATAAGCAGCTTTTAAACTCACACACACACACACACATACACACATACACACATAAATGAGAGGACGGATTATAAATTAAATGCACTCGTAAATACACTTTTTTTCCTCTACGTTTGTTTGTTTGTTTTTTACAAAAACGTCCTCCCTTGTCTTTCATTAAAAACTGTGTTTATGGTTGACATCTTCTTCGTGCTTTCTGTTTGTTGCTCATATTTTTTTTTTTTGTTTATTTCGTTTCTCTTTGACGTTTCGGGTGCACATCTTTTAATCAAAAGCGTGCATTAAAACACAAATAAGTGAATAAAACAAAAAAAGATGATAGAATTACTACAGACATGATGTCTTTTACTAGTTGTTTTTTGCATGAATGTTCTATAACCGGACTAGAATGTTTCTATTATATATACATATGAACCTCCTCTTTGAACGATAGCTCTTTTTTGTGTTTATGGACAATATGAGTTCTTGTTATTGCTGTTGATTGTGCGTTTATCAATAATTAATTCAATTTTTGGGCAAAATTAGAAGACGAAAAATATGTGATTTATAAAAAACAATTTTATGTGTAGTGCACTTTTTTTTGTTCATTGTATTTTTTTTTTCTCTATATTTTCTAGTTAAGTTTGTTATTCAACCGGTGGGTGATGATAGGGAGAGGGGTTAAAACGACGATAGAGAAACAAAAGTAAAATAAAAAAAAGAAAAAGACATGAGCGAATCCAGATATATAACGATTTAATAACTTTCATTCAAAAACTGATTATCAATTGTGATTTGCTGATTGTGAATATGAATTTGTAGTAATTCTTCTTCTGCATAGTACATGACAAAAACTAAACTTTCGCATTGAGTTAGAAGGATTTGTCAATGATACTTATTAAAGATTCCTTGCGCTCATGAGCGAGAAGTGGAATTGGAAAAAATACATTTTCATGCATAAAATTTTGTCATGGGTACGGTTACATCAGTAATATTGAAAAGTTACACAAAATTTGGAGAAAAGTACTACTGAGAATCCATGAGAGATGTCCGGTCATGACATTTATTCCGTAATTCAATTGCTCTTATGTGACATAATTCATCACTACTGTGCCTTGACTTTCTCTTCTGTGGCTCACCATCATTATGTCAAAACCTTTCTTTCTCACGTCAATGTAATATTCATCTTCCTATGATACTTTCACATTCCCTGTTTCACATAGTTTTCTGACGAAAGTGAGAAGATTAGAAAAGCAGAAAATTCTATAAAACAGGGAATGTGAAAGTAATCATAGAAAGGGAAAATCAAAGTCAGTGCATATCGCTTGACTTCTAGAACATATTTCTAAGGGTAAAATAACTGTAGGAATAAATTCTGTACCTAGACATCTATACAATTAATAAATAAATCATTCAGTTTTATTTTTAGCAAGAAATCTAGAAACATAAAAAAAAATAAAAACATGAAGAGTGAAAAAATAAAATATATCATTACAATAGAATGAAGAATAACAACAACATTGACTTAGGAGGGAACATTTTCAAGTGATTCGGCCCGATTTGGCTAATATTTTGCTGATCGATAGGGATCAACAAAAATTCTAAGAGGATTCGTGCTTACGCGGTTTCCTTCTTGAGTTATGATCGATTTAGTAAGATTCCAGTTTTGGGTATTTCCACTATAACAGCCTGTGCAAACGTACTGGAGAGCTGAAACTCGTGGCAATGATAGCCCTGGGTATTATTCTTTTGTATTTTCAAATACGGTCTGTCTCATCCTGCAGAGCGAAAATCGTTTGAATCTAAATATCCGGTACAAAAATTAATTTCTCAGCAATCAAGGGAAAATAGCAAAAATTATTACCTTTCTTTGCGTGGTGGGACAAAACATAGTTTTTTTAGACATGCGATCATAACGACTAATCATTTGTTTTCAAAATTAAGAAAATTAATCTGAATAGATCAAGTTTGACTAAGCTTTATTTATTTTATTGGAAGGTTCAAATTATTGGCAAAAAATAATGAAATTCTTGCGCCCTCAATTCTAACTGAAAATTATTTAAATTACAGATGGAAAATAGAGCTTTTCGAGACGCATGCGATGGCTACTTCAGCTTTCCTCTCTCATAAACTTTTAGCAGATAATACTAAAAAAACTGTTAACTACGTTTATTTTTTTAACATTTTAGTACTTCTCACCGTTTCTTATGGCATTTTACATCTTCAGATTTTGCAATAAAACAGTCAATACATTTTTTGTAGAGAATTCAACAGGAAATCTTTTGGTAAAAAACCTAGTTCAATCTAGTGTAAGGAGAAGGAGAAAATTTGAAAATACAAACAGTCTAATTTTATTCTGAGCCACCCGATATTAGCCGATCACTTGGAAATGTTCCCTCGTTAGATATTAAGATATTTATTAACTGGTTTTTTAAATGATTAAATAGAAAAACAGAAAACAAAATCACTATGCTCGTGATATAGCTCTAACTTGACAGAACACTTTTAGATCAAGGCTAAATACGGATTTGCGAGTTCAAAGCGTAAGCTTGCGCAGATCCATATCCGTTTTTATTAAGGAGAAAAAAAAATACAGTCAAAAGACATAATAGTTGATAGAAAGCAATGGTATTTGTGGATGGTAGAGAGGGAGGGAGAAAGATAGAATTTTTGTACAGAAAACTAAAACAAAATAATCGATTTATTTTAGAAAATAATATTATTATTATTTTTTATATGATTGATCATAGCAGATAGAAAAAATGTAAAAAATAGAGAATGCTAAACATATTTTGTTTGTATTGAAACTGAACTCTGTTTAAACTCTCTGAACTCTATTTAAACTCTCTGAACTCTTCTACTTTATGACTCGACTTCGAAGGCTTATTATGAAAAAATGTTAATATCAAATATTTTCTTCATAGATTTAAATTCGGCAAATTTAATTTTTTACTAGACGATCACTACTCGAAATATATTCATTGAGTATTATCTTTCCTGCTAATTTGTGCATTGATAAAAGTGGAGGTAAATGAGTTGACTATTTTCTATCATATGCGCAGCAGAGATGAGCGATGGACGAGGATCCTCGAGAGGTCCCGCGATTCTTCATGGGGTGGACCTCGCGAAGAAGATTTTTTAAAAGCTTGACGAGGCACGGGACGATGACGAGGCAAGAACTTCATTTTACGTGAACCAACCCCGCGAAAGACATTTATCCTTGTGAGCGAAAGACGTTACGTTTACTTTGATCTACATGTACAATAAAGGTGATGGTTTTTCTTGTGAACCAAGACGAAACAATGAATAGCTTATGTTAGCAAAGATTTTCCGAACTTAGAAGGATCGATGAGAAAGTGCCAGATGAAAATTTGATCAAGCGTTAACGATGGATGAGGCGGCGAGGGCGCACAAAGCTTACGGAGCGATTCTTGCGAAGTACATTTATTGAAATTTGGCGAGGTATGGGCCGATGACGGAACAGGAAGTTTGCGAGGCGATCTCCACGAGGGAGCTAAACATAGTTCATTGCCCGCCTCTGATACGTAGTGTGTTCAAAAAGTTCTCTGACTGATTTTATTTAAACAAAGGCAAAAAGTGTTATGGAACAAGTCTGTTGTCTGCTTGAAGCTGACACGTTCTTCTACCTAGAGACGCAACGATCTCTAATTGATTAGACATCTATATGACAAAATGACAATTTTTTTTGAAACTGCCTTCGATGCACTGAAGGAAAATCAAAAGATTTAAGCATCGCCCAGTAACAAACCTTTTTATTCTAGGCAGCTAGTTGTCATCCATTATTCATGAAAATATAGGAACAGTTAACGATAGTAATGCTCTCTTATATGAAACGATATTTAAATCGTCATATCGTTTTAAAGATGGACGATCAATCGTCGAACATGATTCTCCTATGGTATACCAGACGTTACGTCACATAACAAAAGCGTAAAAGATGTTGAAAGTCTAGTTATTAAAAATTATTCAGATAATAACTGAGGCATATTACGTAAGTATTTTGGTAAATCAACTTCGCCTACAAATTAGAAAAATAATGCTGAAATTCAATTTCACTACTACAGTACACATATCATACCTTGTTTCGTCTGCTATCCATGATTCTAAACATCAGTTACTGCAATACCCTCTTATTTTGGAGATGTTACCGCCAGTAATTATTATCTACTTTCAGTTTTAAACGACCGTCTCAGATAAAAATACTACGATAACCAAAGTTCACTATATTCGGCAATACATCAGTGCCTGAACCGTCTGTCTGAAGATGACTTTACAACAGCTATACAAAAGTTTCCAGAGCGTTGGTAAAAGTATATTATTGCAGAGGGGAGATACTTCGAGAAAGAAAACATAAACTTATGACTGTAACTTATTTTGTTGTTTTTAAATAAAATCAGTTCGGGAACTTTTTGAACGCACTACGTTGCAGCAGTAGTAATACAGGTACAATAGGTGAATTCACAGGTAGAATACAAGTACGATAGGTGTATAATTAAACTTAAATAAAATCATTATTCTACGACTCAATTATCAGAAACGTTTTTAGAAAGTCAAAAGCTCGATTGAAAATTAAAAAATTGTTATTAACGAAAATTTTACCAAAACATCTATTCAATGAAAGGGTGGACTCGGTATTTTCTAAATAACTCGAGAGAGAAAAGAGCTGCAGTAGTAAAAACTCCAAAAGTCTTTTCAAGTGTAGAATGATAAGAGAATTTTCGAAAAACCAGTGTGGTTTTTCAAAAATTACAGTGACAATATAGTGTTCTTTTTACCGAGGTAAAACTCCGTTCAAGATATGATTAAAACAAACATTGCTATCAGATTCATCGTGTTCGATTATGTATATACTATACAATGTCAGTTTTATTCTAAGTTATTGCATACCAGTTCTGTGGCTCCTACAAAATCCAATATCAATCACTGAAAATCAAGGTCACAATAACTCCAACTTTGGAAAACGTACTATATGCTATCTATTGATAAAGAGAGCACTTTATTCCTATTTCCTGTATTCATGTTGGAAATTGACTAAAATGTTGATAAGATTAGAATGTGGTGTCGGAAGTTTTAAGGATACTCGTTAATCTAAATTATATTTGAGAATTGTGTTTAGAAGAAACTAATAAAAAACTGCTTGCATATAACGAGAAAAAAAATCATATTTTTCTCTCTAAAATAACACACAACATTTTTCAAAACATTTTTACCTAGATTAGAAACGACCATATGTGGTAAGATATATTAATTATTCTAAAATGAATTTATTTTATACTCGTTTTCGAGAACTGAGAATCCCAAATGAATAAGAGATTAGTGTAAGAAAAAAGGTAAAAATCCGCGTGTTTAGAATGAAGAAAACAAAAATAAATTTGTTCGATGTACGAATATCTTAAAGTACAGTCTTAGGCATGTTTCATTTTTAGAATAAAATATAATTTTATAAAGAAAAAAATGTTAATGTGATCACATAATTTTCACAAGTTTAATAAAAAAAATGACTATTCATTTGTTAGATCAATTATGCGCTTAAATAAAATGAGGATATGAATTTTACCCTAAGATTTTGTTGCATTTTAATTAAGACTGTAATATTCACTAGAGATAAATTGTAGAAAAACGTATAGAAAAAATTCTCTTTTATCTACTTCATTTTTTTATTTCTACACTTTTTTTTCCTCTCACAGTATCTATTTCCATCAAGTGTATAAAAGCAAAAAAAAGACAAACAAAAAACTTCGAATCTATAACACCACCTGCATAGTGAACATTTATTACGCCTAGATGTAATGAATATTTATTTATCTTAACAAAAAATTTATTTAAATTCAATATAGTTCGACAAATTTATACATTATTGAAAGTCTCACTTATAATCAATTTTCAATCATAAAATGACGTCAGATTTGTTTCTACAAAGTAAGTATAAATAGATTACTAAATTAATGTAAATTTCTATTCTTACCCCCTCCCCACTGCGTATATAATTCAAATATTTCATCTCTCTCGGATGTAGTCATAAGCCGTTTCTGACAACTTCAGTTATTTATATATATAATCAAAAACGAAATATATCAAACATTTGTATATCTAAATATTCTAATAAGATGACTTGTAGTCACATGATCTTGGTAAAATCTTAGTTACAAGATATTTCTCTAGGAAATTTCTATTCGATAATGTGACATCAACAGTAGATTACAAGATCATCCGTTTTATTTCTATCTACTTTTTCTTACTAAGAATTAGTTTAGAAATTGTATTTCTTAAATCGTAGCCGTTTTTTTGATATGATAGTCAAATTTTTAATTTGTATGAAATTAGAAAAAAAATTTTTCCATTGTGAAGTTCGATTTACTTTTTCATACAGGATCACATTATTATTAAGTTAATGTTAATGTATCTTTTTTCAACTTTTTTCCACTATCATTCGTAAGATGAAAACATTAAGTAGGCAAAATATTAACTGAGTTGTAACTTGCCTTTTGAAATCATAATTCATTAGTTGATAAATGAATAGCATTTATTATTTTTATTAATAATTAGAATGGGAAGTTGTTGCTCTGAGCATGAATTTGATAATAGTTTTCTTCGTTCTAGCGTGAACATTAAAAAAAAATTAAATATCAACATTTTGATGAAAACAATTATGTTCAAATTGATTGAATTTTTGTCCCACTTTTTTCTTATTTGCAAAACAGGCAAAGAAAAATATCTTTTTATTTTTTTCTTAAAATTTGTTAATCAAGAAGAGATAGAAGATCGATTGATAATGATATTTATTTAGTTTTTATACTTGATTAACTTAAGGTAAAAGAAATTACAAACAAGATCAGTTGATGAGAAGGATCTATTCCTTTAAATGTCGATTTTTATATTAAATTTTTAGAATCATTTTGTTTTGTTTCTATGCTATTTTCTAGTGTTTATCTTCCTCTTACTACTAATTCATTCTTCTTCAATGCAACCAGTTCAATTCATGGATGATGATTCGGATCCAGTAATAATGAATTACAAGAATATGTTATTATCTGACAGAAATAATCTTGGACGATATTTAGGAGAATCAATCATTGGTCATAATAGCGACGGTAATCTTCGTCTAATGAAACGTATCATTATGTTACCTCGAGTAGGTAAACGTTCACTTCGAGATCCTACAGCGTTCAAAATATAACAAAAGCAAATTTAATTTATTTTAAATAATTAACTATACTAATTTTAATGTCATGTATTTACAAAAAAATGGTTTATAAAGATCAGAAAATGTATCTAAAAGTTTCAAAAAGCGAAAAAACGTTATGGTATGAACGTTTTTGAACTTTGTTGTTCTTGTTTTTGTTTTTTATTCGATCATCAAAACAAATAAAGGAGTACAAATCAAAATAAAACATATGAGCACAACTATTTACAACTTTTTAATATTCTCATCATTGTTGAATAAGATCTTGTCAAATTTTTAGATCTTTAGTAGATTGACATGTATTAAGATTTTCATACTTTGTCATAGGTGTAATTTCATCGGTTTATCCTGAACAAACACAAAGAATCTTTTGACATCATCGTTTGAAACTGTCATCATTTGAAATCATTATTGACATTCCTTTTTGTCTTTATGCCAGTAAAATAAAAAGTCTTAATGAGATTAAATAGTCATTCAATCAAGAAAGTTTGATAATCCAGTTCTCATATTTAGAATATGAATAAATGTCTATTTTCACAGTTTTACTCTTAGGTCAGCCATAGTCACAGTAGATGGAAAAGATGTCTAAGAAATGTCACGACAAATTCTAGTAGGCTATAATTACTTATATACAGTAGCCATTTATTTTTTTTTTATTTATTTTATTTTGGTAATAACATAAAATAAATATAAAATATCTAACGTTTCAACCCCTGTATGCAATAGAGATCTGCACAGTCAAAATTATTTGGCTTGGAGCTCTATCGAGGGTGCTTGTCCGTGCCCATCCGTGGAATTTTTTCGTTGCCCGTGTTTGCCCGTGTCCTTGCAGAAAAAAATATTTTTTGTTTCTCTCTGATGTGCCTGTGATTTTTTTTTGAAAAAACCATGCCCGTCGAAGAGCGCAGTTGCCCGTCCGTATCTTTTTCGAACCTGGTTGTACCACTCCATGCTTGCAGTCACAGGAATTCTCGTGTCCGCACAGATCTCTAGTATGCAGGCTATCATCAGCGAAATGTACTACTTGAATTACTGAAAAAGGCTGACAAACAATAAACCAAGCACCAGATGACATTAGTCAACCGTATATTAGTGACTTTTTCTTTTTCCTTTCATTTTTGTACTTGAGTCCGTCAGGGTGTACAATCAATGGTACTGATCTAACAGTATCGTTTAAGCTAGGAATATCAAATGCGATTGCTTAGGATTCGCGAATCAACAAACGATATAATAAATAAACTGTGTTAGTATGGAATCTCCTCCTCAGGTCCGACTTTAGCAGATATACTCATGAATTATTTAGAAACTGAACCAGATCCACTTTTAACTTCCGCTGGAGTTAATTTATGGCGACGATATGTAGATGATACGTTTACCTTAGTCGATCCAACCGCATCAATAATCGATATTTTGTCTATTCTAAATTCATTCCATTTGAGTATAAAGTTTACACATGAGGCTGGAATTGAATGAATTATTAGCATTTATAAACGTAAAGGTCATACGTGAAAGCTCACGTTACTCGACCACCGTATAGAGGAAAGATACGTTCACGGGTTTATTATTAAAATAGAAATCTTATGTTCCTGTACCTCACAAATATTCTGCTATTTTCGGAATGATCCGTCGAGTGCTACGAATTTGTTTCTCATATGAGGCATTATATACCAAATTGAATATTATTCGTAAAATTACCTCACAAAATGAATATCCAAGATTTTTCGTCGATAAATTGATAAGTATAAAATTAAGTAAATGATATATGAAATCAGATGTGATCGATAAAAAAGATGATGGATCAAACCAAGAAATGTTAGATCTGTACATTGATTGTGCATCCTGACGGACTCAAGCACAAAAATAAAAGGAAAAAGAACTCAACAACGAGCTTTGGGTCGATAATCTAACTATGACTCATTTCCAGTTTGCCTGCTAATTGACTTTTTATATATTTTTCAATTTCCCATTTTGCAAGCCAATTAATTAAGAAAAAAATATTTTCTTTCGTTCTATAAGTAATCAAATTTTGTTGATAAAAGAAAGAATAAGATGATACAACTCTCTATTAGAAACCAAATTTAAAGTATTTCGAAGTGTTCTATCACAATACTGTGATATCCGATTTTTACCTGTATATATCAAATATAACTTTTGATTTCGATTTGGGTGTATATGGCAAGAATAAAAGCATCTAAAAAAGCGCTCACTAGAAAACATCCACGAAAAAGCATAGTAAAAAAAGTGTCGACAACAATACGTCCACAAAAATTCATTCAAATAGAAGCGTTTCATTTCTTTAATATTATGTCGTAATTGTACGCTTTTTTTTCCTGTGGATTACTTATAGAACGAAAGAATCTCTGTATTTTCTTAATTAATAGGCTTGCAAAATGGGAAATTGAAAAATATATAGAAAGTCAATCAGCTACAAACTAGGAAGATACCGCTAACTAAATAGAAAAGAGGCGGTTTAAAAAGACAAGATGGTAATTTAACAATTAATTTTAGACATTTAGAAGTATTGCGTTAGTCCGCGGATCGAGTTTTGAGAGTTCTAACTGTTCTGGATGATAAAATTACTAATAAAGCATCGTTCATACATATTGATAAATAATTCTGATCAACCTAAGTGGTATAAAACAGTCTGCATGGGTTTGATACAAGAAGTGAAAGCATAGGCAGCGGAAGTCAATCTAGGGTAGGCTCAACATTTTTTTCCAAATAGTACCGGAAGGGGAGGAATGATGTAGCGTTTTTACAGAAAAAATGTTGGAATAAATCAAAATCAATATAACACCTTAAGGTCTTTTTGACAAACAATTGTTTGAAATATTTGCCTGCTTGTGCAGTAACGAAAGTGGGTGCCCAGACCGGTAGCTGTGTGCAAGTTTTTGAATGGATAACTGCAGCCGACATTATTCAGATTTACTATACCTTTTTGCTTCATATACGCTGATGAATTACCCTAAAAAATTACGGTGAGTTAGGAAATGAACTTTCCGAATCTTAAAACCGCTGGAAACTTCGAATGATTTTTCTGCATCTTACGTATAAGAATAATGTCGTTGTCATGTGTCTGAAAATTTTAAGTCTCTGATTGCAAAAAAATTGTATCAGTCGTCTGTTGACATGCTGTTTGGGGCTCCTTTTGAAAATCTGTACGTGGGCTCGAGTCTCTTCTAGCCTCAATCAAGGGTAGGCTCGAGCCTACCCAAGCCTCGTGGCTCCGCCGCCTATGAGTCGGTTTTATATGAGTTTCTTATTATATACACAAATTTTTTACATTCAAATAAATAAAGTAGTTAAGACAAAAAAACATTTCAGAGATGGGAAGGATTTATTTCTTTATCTTTTAAAAGCTTAAAACAGATGAACTACACCTGACAAAAATTACTTATGCCATATATAGAATTTTTTTCATACATAGATTAACTAATCAAATTTTGATCCATTTATTGTTGATTTTTAAACTCTTATATTATCTGTTAATTTCTAATAGAAGACAATTCTTGAGAAATGCATGTTATAAACGAGTGTTCTTATTTCAGGATGCATTCGCATAACGATCATACATTGATATTGTTAGGACAATAACATGAAAAACTGAAAACGTTTTCTACACCATATCTTTGTAGTTTATATGCTGCAAACAAACAGTTAAGAAAATATTGTATGAGATTAGAACATCAATTATAGAGGAATAAACAACATTTATTGTTAGTAAATAAATTCACAACAATGAGAACAATGAGAATAAAACATTTATCAGATCATCTATTTTGTTAACACAAAAATAAGATCGAAAATAAACAAAATATAATAATAAATTTATCTCAAAAATACAATATGTAGTAATTTAAATAATATTTCAATAGAAGAAATCGTGCTATTATATATAAATAATAAATATAAATAAATAAGAACAACAAAATACATAAATACACACGACTAAATTTAATCGTTGGTAAGAATTGCACATAAACGTGTTTGTTTTATTAAAACAAAACAATTCGACTGTTCTAAGTTCAAAAATTTTTGGATTTATTCACCGAGTATTTGGTGCTGTATCATCAAGAGCAACACTTTGTTCTCCATTAATAATTAATTGTTGATCCTCATCTATTTCTTCTTCTCGAAACGAATTTTGTTCTTGATAATGAATCGCTAACACCCCAAAAAGAAATGCACAAAATACCATCAGCGCTGCAAACACTAAAAATTCGGTTGTCTAAAAGAAAAATAAGTGAACTACCAAATAAAAATTAATAATTCTACTTTTATACCTGATCCGCAATTAAACGCGATTCGGCAACAAAAGCAACAAACAAATTACCGACAGCTACTGTCAATAGCCATGCTGCAGCGACTACAGTTTTATAACGTTTAGGTGCCTAAATGAAGAGGATATGATTGGTTTTATTTCAGTATTATTAAATATATAAAAATAGAATTACTCACTTGCGAATAAGCAAATGCTATACCAGTTATTGAAAACAAGATTTCGGCACACGTTAAAATAAAATATTGTATGATTTGCCAAAGCACATGAATCGTGTTTGCTGGAATATCTGTGATTAATCTCCCGTGCAACTAGAAAATAAATAAATATGAAAAGCAAAATATTCTTACTCAAATCGGTTAACGATTCTATCCTTCCTACACATTACAAACAAAGAAGTCTTTGGCATTTGTGTATGACAGTCACTTACATCACCATCCTTTGAATCGAATAATAATACAGTATACACAGCTGTATTGTCCAAATCAAATTTCTCCGATGATATATGTCCATCGTTCACTGTTTTAATACGATAACTACGTAAAGAAAGTTTCGAGTAGAATAATAGATAATTAAAATCATAACTTTATTTACCTTGCAGCTAAAACTGTTTGATATTCGCTAGGAATCAATTTTCCTGTTAAATTGAATGTATACTTATTTGGAATTGTTTGAACAACTGTCTGTTTACCATCCAGCGAAACAACTCTGAAATAAAAATTAAGAAAGAACATTATAGAGGGAAAACAAGTGAATTCAATGTTTTCTTCACTTAATGTGAACAAAGATGATCAATCAAGAGGGACAACATAGAATTTAGAAACGATGGGGGTTGTTATTCTTACCGTAAAAGAGAAAAACCTTTTGTACCCCGTTTTATCGTTATTGGATTTGTCAGCTAAACATAGAAAACCATTAAAGATACTCAAAATGTTTCAAACAAATAGACAGCTGCATACTGGAGTAACAGAGATTTCGTTGGTAAGTGAGTTACCACTTAGTACAATCACTGATGGACACATTTCATTGGTAGTAAATATATATTCTCCATTTCCATTACAATCGGAGTCAAACAATAGAGTCTTATTTGCTAATGCTGTACATGGAATTTGAATAATCTAGCGTAAAAAGCAGAGGAGATTCATCAGCAGTTGACAATAATTAAAATAAAATAGTATTACATACTCCATAAGATTCTATAGATCTATTCTGATTTATTCTGGCCACGCACGGCAAAGTATTGAACAGTTTTGTATTATAACGTACTGGAATAGCGTTTATCCTCGCCTGAATGAAGAAGAAATAATGATATAACAAATTATTTTTCCTTAGCTACATTAATTAGTAAAAAAATTACCTCAATCGCTGCTTGAAGTATTGCTGCGCATACAAACGCGATGGCCAGCAAAATCAAGCCAACAAAAATGCGTTGCAATGGTCTAAGGAGAGGAAGAGAAATTCAATTTTATCTTAAACCACAATAGGAGAGTTTAGTCATACTTGACAAATACATGACATTTTGCACAAAATGGATAAATCCATTTTTCAAAAATCGGTATTAACGCTAATAGTAATAAACTGTTGAACGCCTGCATTTGATCAGGTTTTATTGTGCCTAATGCACCCTAATAAAACAATGATTTGTAATTAAAGAACTACTCGCAAAAAAAGATACGTTGTTCTTACCAAAGATCCATCCATTAGAGAAGCTTGAAAAGTCCAACGAGAGCCAACTTGATCATACAGTGCCCAGAACATTGGTAAAGGTACAAATAGGACTAGAACATGTATTACGGTTCGAACATCTTCAATATCTTTCATCTATATAAACAAGAGATATTTTTTAACAGAAAAATAATAATAATTCAAAGTTACACTATATTTGTCGGCAGCATAAAACAGCCATCCATCTTTTCTTTCTGTTAATGAGCTGTGAAATATTTTGTTTCGTAAAGCATGCTATAAGTTAAAAAAAAACACGTAGATGATTTGTAAAGAAGTGAAAGGTCACTTACAAATATGATAGCCAAAAATCGAGCGATTATATTTTCTGTTGGTAAACTATGTTTGTATTTCGGAGTACCAGCAACAAAAATTCCTGAAACAATCACAAAGAAAAATGTATAATATTCAATAAATTAACAAAATTTCTTTGGTTATTTAGCAAGTTACTTAAGACAATCAGTTTTATCAAACGATCGAAAAATTTATTCTTACCTACGGCTAGTGCCATGACTATAGCGGGTACGCCAAAAGCCAAAGCATAACAGTTGAAATGAAAACATGAAACATTACCTAAAAGAGTGGAAAATATTTAATTTGCTGTAGGTAGAGAAATCTAGCGAACAAAATTTGTATTACTTCTCAAAATTGGCGTGATAACAGTAGATGTAAAGGCACCCACATTGATGGTAAAATAGTATATTGCAAAAAAACGACTTATTTGTTGCTTCTAGAATTAAGAACGAATTGACTGTAGTTTCGCTGGTATAAACGTAGAAAATCTTACATTAGTTGACGGGATTTGGTCGGCTCCAAAGGAGCTTACGCATGGTTTTATGCCACCTGTTCCCAAAGCTAGAGAAAAAAACAATAATGAAATAAATTGTATGATGGTAAAGAAAAAACTACTCGCCTATTAATAAAAGTCCAACCAACGGACCAGCTCTGGTAAAACAACATCATAAATTAATTGATATGATTCAATTCATATTATGCTGATATAAACTTACGTACAAATGCCGATGGCCGATTGTTGGTATAGCTGTTATTGATAAAATACAGGCACCAATAAAATAAACGATCGATAATATTAGAATTGTTCTTGAAAACATAAGAAAAAATAGCATTTTTGTAAGATGAAGACTATAGCACTAACTTATATTTTCCGATAAAACCATCAGCAATGACAGCACCAAGCGTCGGTGCAAAATAGCATATCGATATGAAAATGTGGAAATAAGCTGTTGCTGTATTTTTTTCCACCAATAAAAATTGCATAAAATACAATAAACAAATGGCTAAGAAAATAAACCATTTTATTTATTTTGATAGATTTTATTTAGTTTAAACATTACCTCGTAATCCATAATAAGAAAACCGTTCGCATAATTCGTTGAAAATAATAAAATAAACAGCCTTTGGCATCGGCCCATTTTTAACGTTTTCTCCATTGTTTTGGGGTTTTACTGCTATAAAATATAAACATTTCCTGTTGAGAAAAACGCGTTTTGAGTAAAGGAAACGAAAAAATATTTTCTAAGTGCTTTGTTTTTAAAAAAACGATTTTTCGTCCCTTCTTTCTCGAATCTTCCGAGCTTTTGAAGTTTTTATTAGGTTTATACCACAAGATCAGCTAGCACTAGACTCTTACAAGACAGAATAAAGAAATGCCCCAAATGCTAACGAAAAATAAAAAAATTAGCGAAAAAGTCAAATATTCCATGCGATTTTTTCACAAAAGCTCCGTAGGTTAAGATTACCAACTAGGCCTGTAGTGAATTATGTGGTCTACCCTGATTTTCAATCCCAACATGAGGCACGGATTGAGAATCAGAAGTTCTTTCAACAGAACTAGCATATCTTACTTGTTGCAGTTCTGGCACTTTCCTCGGCTGCCATTTAATTAATTTTCAATGTTTCTAGATGAACGGAATCTGATACTTATTTTTCTGTAGCTCTGAAAATTAGCATGTCTTTAATTGATCAATTATTCTATTGTATCCTTGTTTTTCCCATGAGATGGGCAGCGAAGCAAAGCAAAGCTAAAAAACGTTATTTTTTGCCCTCGTATTTCTTTTCTTTCACGCAGTAAGATTTATTCAGGCAAACTCTGTAGTTCAAAACAGAAGAAAAAAGGACATTTTAGGATAGAGGACGCTAGTATATAAATCGCGGCTAGACGAATAGATGCACGTGAAAATAGTCAAAGGTTGAAAGATGTTTCTTCAAATTTATGAGACATACACAGCACCGGACAATATAGAAAACACCAGAAGCATCATGATGCCCTGGCAACGTACATGTTAATGGCATGCTTCACACGCTTATGACTCAAGCAACTATTCGATGCTTTTCTTTCGAAAACTGAAGATTCTAGTCGAAGTCGCAGAAATACAATAACATGCGAAGTAGAATAACTTTCGTTCACAGAAAAAATTTGAATACTATCCCATACTAAAATTTTTGGTACTTCAACATCACTAATGATTACCAACAGATATTGGAGAAATCTATTGTATTATTAATTTCTATTCTTACGTCGACTATAGCCCTCTCTGTCTTAACGCATAGGAATGAGTGACATTACTTTTATATCCCTTTTTCAAGAGTGTCTACGCGTTATAAATGACTACGTGTGAGCATTAGTTGAAAGAGCATCCTAACGACAAATAGACTGTCGATCACGAGTGCAATCCAAACTCTAGGTTCACACGCTGGGACAGTTAGATGTTGAAATATCAAAAATGTTTCCATGAGTAACTTGCATTATGTTTATTTTTTCACTATTAGGAAGCAGAGCCCGAAACGAATCAGAAAAACCTGATTCGATTCGGGATAACATTTCTGAATCCTAAATCAAATCGAATGTCGAATTATTCGATTTGTTTAGGGCTCGACATCGTGTGGACATTGATTGTAAAGGAAAAAAAGAGAAAAAGTTTTTGTGTACACATTCGGCTCGATTCGACTTAACATTTCTGAAATCAAATTCGGTTCGTTTCGGGCTCTGTTAGGAAGTATAGCTTCGCTTTATACTCTGAATTTCAGACTTGATTATGATTTTGATTGGGGTCTGTTAAAGAACAATGAACGATGAATGTACATATGATCATTTGAGTATTACAGGAGAGCTACGACACCCAGTCAAAAGTTTGCTAACATCCTGGAATGATGAAAAAAAATGGTTTAGTATTTATCGAACGTGAGCCTGCAAAACGAGTTATTCTCTATCCCACACTACATCAACAGCAAACACAAAATAATAATGCTTTGTCTCTAACAAGATCTAAAACAGCTGATCATTTTTCAAATCAAACAGTATCAGCTTCAATATCTTTAACAACAACAAATCATCTTAAATATGCTGGTTCTAATCAAAACACCCTTACTCGACCGTTGTCCAAAGGTGTGTAGTACAACAACACATGCGTTTTTTTCCAATAAGCTGTGTATTTTTTTTTTATTTATATCGTAGACGATCAGTTTCTGGTTGATACGAACGTCCCACAAGTATATCGTCAACAAACAGCACCACATTTCAGTCAGTTGAATGGCCAAAATAAAAGTGTTTCACGAAATAATCCATATTATTCAAATCCATTTTTTCGTCCGAAAGTGGTTGTTGAACAAAAAGATACGGTGCCGCTCTCCTCAGGTGACACAAATAAAAATTCTACCTCGTTAATAACAAACACTACTCTCTACACGACAACAAATGGGATAGTTTCATGGAATCAAAATAATGCAACATCAAGAGTCGATAATAGAAAGCAAAATAATGTGTATAATATGCAAAATAACGCGAATACCAGCAACTTGCTTGTTTTAAATGGTCAATCGGCGTTATCACAACGCACTACATCGCCGCATGATGAAATAGCAAATACGACTCCAGTCGTACTTAATGATAATACTGTCGTTCATGATCTTAATCGTTGGGCTGAAGCAGTGTCAGCGACACCGAGACATGATGTGTCGGCGAGTTCGGAGAAGGAGCGCACGATGACAACCAAACCAAATGTGAGCTAACAAAATTATCGCAACGTTTTGTGTTTATTTTTTGTTGTTTAGATTGACAAGGAAACTATCGGTCGTGCTAATTCTTCATCAAGTTCTGTTCTCTTTTCTCTTGATACATGGCGTGGTCCGCAGAGTCATTCGACAATAATGAATGATCTTGTACATTATCAACAACGTGATTTCCGAAATGGTTATATGGCATCAACAACCTTAGCAACTACAAACTCTTCTTCATCGTCGACTCCTAATTCTGCAGTTTCTCATGAACAACAGCAATCGATACAACAACAACCTAGTGCGCTGAGTCAAAACTGGAAATCGGCGCTGGCTGCTAAATTTCAACAAAATGCTCGTTTGCCAGCTGCAAAACTGTTTACAACAAAAACAAACTTTTCGAATTTGGCAAAAATTGATACACCATTCAAAGGTGATAGAGGTATCCTGTTTAATCATAACAAAGATGATACAATGAAAAATCAATCACAATTATTACCCGTCAACGATAGTGTAGTAACGAGTTTGATAAAACCAGTTGCAGATAATTCGAAGATTCAAACTAAACAAGTTGTTGAAACCGTCAAAGTACAAGTATTTTATCGAAACGTCAATTCTGATGATTATTCCCGAATCTGATTCCGATATCTTCTGATTTTAGGATAGCATTGCTGTATCGTCACCAGTGCATAACAACACTATTAAGAATCTCGTTCAAGAAAAATTGCCTGTTCAACAAACGAACGTGGAGAATATGCCAAAATCAACTGCAAATTTAGATCAACAACGAGCAATTATCACTAGAGTATAGAAGTTTTTCTCATTGCTTACTATAATGTGTAAAACAATATTCTTTAGGTAATGATCCGACGCGATTTTGTTAAAACAAACGAACCAAAAGTAACGCTACCAACAACAAATGTTCGCTCATCATCAGTACCTGGAAGAAGTTCAAATAATGTAACTCAATTGACAACAACTGTAGATAACTATAATAACAACAATAATAATAATATTAGTAATAATAATAACAATAATAATAATAATATTAATAATAATAATAATAATGGTAACAATATCCGTATTAATAATAGTCAAATGAAAGGTATTTTTACAATACCACCAAAAAATGGTGCTAAAACTCTTACATCAATCGATACTAATAAAGTGGAAATACAAAACTCATCAAGTGCAATAATTCGTTCAAATAGTGCCGTAGCAGATAGCGAACAAAGGCGAAAGGGACAAGATATAAGAAGGAACTGGAGTGCATCCGTTACATCAATAAATGGGTAAGTGGAACGATTAATCGATCCTTCGGCTATTTTGCTTATAATAAAAATATCTTTGATCTACGTTCCCAGTAAGACTGGCCCTTTTCTCTATCTGTGTGCCTCTCCTCTCCATTTCCTCAATGCAGTATAAGGATTTGTCTGACAGTTTCAGAACATGTCAGAAGCTCATGCTCGTTGGAGACACAAGGAATTGATGCTGATATTTAGATTGTAATTTTACTTTTGTTTTCGTTCGTACAAAAATATGTTATACAAGTTGTGTCATGTAAATACCTTCTTTATTTGCAAATATGATCACAAAAAGATAGTTTAACATTTTCTATAATTCTCTCTAACATATTTGTTCTTATACAATCACACAAAGAATAATTGTTAAAAATAAATCATGTTTTTTTATGATTGATAAAAATGTGGAAACTATATGGCATGTAGAATGAAGTAAAGATAAACAAAAAGAGTCAAGTGTTTGTTAAGAAAATATTTGAATATGAAGTGTATACTTCGCTGTTCAAATATATGTACTGTTGACAAAAATAGTATAATGCATTTTTTGATCTTATAATTCTAGAATATTATTTTTTAAGGATGAATGCTAGAATCTTGAAGTTGAATTTCGATTAATTAATTACGTACGGCGCACCAAATTCGAAGTTTAAGCACTATTTTATTTTTGGCTATATTATACATGGTTCGATAGAGCTCGACGAGCTGATCAAAAATATCCACGTTTTAGCTTTAAAAAACTGGTGTTTTAGAATGAAAAATTTTCAAAATAATAAACTGAGTCTAGAAATGTTATTTAAATAACATTTCTAGACTCAGTTTATTATTTTGAAAATTTTTCATTCTAAAACACCAGTTTTTTAAAGCTAAAACGTGGATATTTTTGATCAGCTCGTCGAGCTCTATCGAACCATGTATAATATAGCCAAAAATAAAATAGTGCTTAAACTTCGAATTTGGTGCGCCTTACAAGAGACTGTCTTTATGTATAGTTAAAGTTTGAAAGAAGTTGAAGTTAAGAAATTTTGGTGCTAAGTGTTTTTGAAGAATAGTTCTCAGAATTTTTCATTTATTGCAATCATTAAAGCGAATTCTTCTCGGTAAAACGCTAAAATTGTGCCAGATACCGTTCGTAACTAAGGATAATACACGAGGCATTTCCTGGATAAATTTTAATGGAAGGTTGCGGATCTTGTCATTTTGAAGCGGAGTCGTTTTCATAAAAAAACAATAAAACCTTTGAAAAACTAGACCGTATCTAGAAAACTTCAAATATTAACAAATTGATTTTTTCATCGGTGGATGGTTTAGAGTAAAATGGGAATTGAATAAAATCTATGTGTTTAGTCATCGTATCGGATTTCTTAGAAGCCTTAAGGTTGACGTGGGATGACTTGTGGGAATCTTGGAAACAACTGAAATGTAGGGTATTGACCACCCTGAGTTTTGTGGCAATGTTTTTTATATCAAAAACTTTAGAAAAACTAGTCAAACTCTACTTTAGGTGGAACAGCGTATTTTAAATTATGTAAACAGAAGAAGTCCTAACTTACCTAAAGTCAAACTCCAGACTTCCAAGCTGCATACTACACTCTATTTAAGATGTTTTACATAATGGTATGGTTCAAGTTGCGAAAAGATCTGTTTATATTTTCGAACTTTACCACAAAACTCTTTACGATACAAGATATTATCTTTGGTTGTATCGTACATCTAGGTTTATCAATATGTAAAACAGTTGAAATAGAATGTTTTGGTAGTTTGAAATCTTTTGAACCAATTTTAAGTGGTTCTTCGTAAATCTTATCAAAAAGCTATTCAGAAAATGACCAATGACATTGTTGTTTTCGACGGACAGTATTCACCAGAACTCCTCGTGGGATGAGATGAGACAATCTCTTATATCCTATCATACCTCATCTCATATGATTCTGATTTGTCCTGTGGGATCCCATGAAATATTTTTCTCAACAGTCATTTCTTTCAAGTATTCAACTAAATTTTTATTATATTCAACAGCCCAAAACGTAAAACGCTGCTTTTATGTATACATCCCACTGTTTTCATAGTAAAAAAAGTAAATTCCGTCATCCTCTACTGCTCATTAATATGGAACAAAACGAAGCAAATTCAAAAGCAAAATAGAAATGAATCATCCTGTAGAATTCCATGCGAGAAAATTTTCGGCTCATCCCATCCCACGGAATCTCATTAGTTAACCTGATATTTACGTCTAATTTAATTTTACATTAACAAGTGATATTTTAAATATTCCAGTTATTTATATCAAAGTATTGGGATGAAGTGGTGATGAAATTAAACTATTCGTACTCTTTTCGGTTGTGTAGACTAATATAAACTTAAATCAAATTTAAAAACTTTGTTTGTTTTTAAATTTGAACAATGTACTTCGTGAAGTAGATCATATGTAAATTTAAAAACAAGATTCGACAAATTATAAACTTTTCTTTAAAAATTCATGTTTGAAAGTCAGAAAAATCTTTATTCATACACACATATAAATAGTTTAAGACAGAATGAAGAAAAATACACAAAAAAATCAGTGTAGTTGATAAAAAAATGAATAGCATCATTAACCCCTCTATAGACGTTTTCAAAAACAAAAATTGCTTTTTGGAATACGTAAAAATAAGTCTTTTTTTTTTTTTAAGTTTTCATCATTATTTTTCTTTTAAAAAAGAGACAATGAAAAAGAGAGAAAATAACAAAAATGTATCGAGACTATTTATTCATAGATGGAATTTATATATTCTCTCATCCGATTTGTTCCGATGATGAACAGTTTTATTTTTAATCAAATTTCCTTTGTTCTTTTTTTTAACTTTTTGTTCACTATATACGGGGGTAAAAAGTAAAAATTTCAAATCTATAAAATCTTTTACATGGACTTTTGACAATAAACAGATGTCTGTACGTCTACAGTAGAACAATTTGGTAAAAATGAACTTTGACACTTATTTTGTCCGCTCGTATCAACCAAATCTATCAAGAGAACATTTACAACGACGTTATCAACAACAACATACTGTTTCTCCTCCAACACGATATACCACAACAATTGATCAAACAACAGCATTAATGGAACAAATAAAAAGTCGTCCGCAACCAAAATCAACAGCGTTTGTATCTTATCCATTTAGCAAAACGACAAGGCAAACATCGAGTAATACAACATTAATATCATTACCATCAACATTTAAAAAACTAGATCGAATTGAAGAACCATTAAAACGAACGTTGAAACCCCATGAACTCTGCTATCAATTAAATTTGAAATTAGAATATCTTATTCTTAATCGACTAATTGATAGAAGTCGTGTTATCGTTAGTCGTACATCATCTGTATTATCAAACAGAGTATCACCAACGCTGCTACAATCAGCCAACACAACATCTCGTACAGTTATTAAAAATGGAACGAAACAAAATGATTTGCTAACAACAGCTCTGTTATTTTCAAATAATAGTGGACATTTATCAATAGATTCACAATCAACATTGATAATGAATAATGATGAGATGGAGAAAGATTCATGGATAGATGAAGGCATGGAAGAAATGGTAGAAGAACAAAATATTATTATTAGCAAGGCGTAAGTTTGACGTCCGAAGCACCGTGTACACATTTGCCACTATTTTTTATAACAAATAAATTTTAAATTTTAATTTGCACAAATCTTTACAATATTTCTTGTATCATATTAAATCATGAAAATGACTTTTGATTAATACTTTTCTACGTAATATCAATAGAAAAGAATTCAATTCTTATTAAGTACTTTTAATAGTATTTCCGTTAAGGAAATAATAAAAATGATTTTTTGTACTATTATTTTCCTATTTTGTAAGATTAGCAACAGATAAAAATGTTGAGATTGTATGTTCATTTCTTTTCCTAGTTAACTTTTTATGTTTTCATGTTATAGTCACTTGTTTTCATTAGTGAATGTCAGCGAATATTCGATTACGGTATTAAATTTCTAAATGACTATTTTATTTAATCGTTTACAATATAGCCTAAGTAAAAAATAATCATGAAATTGTAGTAGATCATAAATGTGTAAATAGAAAAGATTTTTTTTTTTTTTTATTTTAATTTTATAGCAAAGATTTTTTAATAATAATTGTGCAAATAAGAAACCGATAAATCCAATGAAAAAATATTGTCAACATTAGATATTTGAATACAACTTTTTTACTAATATATTCATTATTAACAGCATCAAATTACAGTATGTCAATATTTAAAGATCTCATGGATTAATTTGAGAGATCTATTGTGTGTAACATTGATTATTAATGTGTAAAGATATTACACGAATGGCTCAAAATTTTAACGAGTTCTTTCTTTTTAATGTCTACTAGAACTGAAATCTATTCACACCTTTTCAACAAGTTGCAAGAACATTTTTTTTGCATCTAACGTGTTGCAACGCAAGTTCTGTAGCAAAAATTATTCTTTGAAATAATTTAATCAGAATTGTCGCTCTTTTAAAAACGTCCATTTTGTAATACATTTAAATGAATATTCCAAGCACAAAAAAATGATCTGGATAGACCTATTAATAGGGCCTATCGAAAGGCCGATCTATAAATTGATCTATTGATAGCTCGATTGATGCTGATTCCTATCAAAGATCTATTTCTGGTCTGTCAACATCCGATTAATTGGTCTACTGATCGGTACATCGATCAAGATCTAGCTCACCATCCTATTTAGAGGGCTACGGATCGACTATTTATTCGGCATTGATATGGAGCATCAATTGGACTATCAATAGACCAATTTATGGACCGATCTTATCTATGATAATTGTTCGTTTTGATAGGCCTATCTAGATCATTTTTTCGTTCATGAGATTGTTGTATGAAATCTTTTCTTATATTTATTCAAATTTTATCAATAATAAACTTTTAAAGTTTTAGACATAATTGAGCATTCAACATATTTCTCCATACAGATATCAACTTGAAGAGCGATTATGTTCGCTATTTTTTTAATTCTCTTTCTCTAATCCAAGATGAAGCCATAGAACTGGGGAGGTTGGAGTATCATGTAACAGACCGAAAATTTGATGTTTAGAATTGATGGGGAAAATGAAGAGAAAGTTGAAGATGAAGAAGATGAAGGGGAAAATGAGGAAGAATCAGTAAAATCTTCTGAAAGCGACGGTAAATTGATAGTCACTCTATTGTCTATAGATGAATATTTATCGCTATTCTAAATTAATTTAGGTGATACAGACACGTACAATGCACTTGATCCTCACGTGCTTGTATCAGATAAAGGTATATTTTTGTACTCATCATTGCATTACAAAAAAAAGAGTAATATATACTTGTGAACATATTTCAAGTTCGTCGTGTGGGCAATATGGATGTTAGAACAGGACTCATTCCAAGTATATTTATAAATATACCACCGACAATTCGATTTGGAACAGAAAATCAACGAAGTTAGTATCTTCTTCACTAAAAAGTAGTATTATGACTAAAAATTTATTTATTTCAAGTTGATCCGTTACCAGCACCACTCAAAAAAATGATGAAATGGAAGATGTCAACCATTACACCAAACATTGTTAAAAATACTGTAACGAGATCTGGATTTCGTCTTATAAACGGTATGTACATTTATTCTTCGTTTTTTTTAATACAATTTACGTATATCATTTAGCTGACGGTATGTAGACGACATAGATAATCGTTAGTACTATTGTGCACCATATTTTGGTGTATTTTGTTGCACTCATAATCTCACATGTTGGATCTTCTACACATATCTTTACTATTGAAGGAATCATTGTTTTCAAATCTTCTATATTAATGATAAATGTCGAATTCTTTTAACATTTCTCATTGCTTTTTTTGATTTTCAGTTTTTTTGATAGATTTTATTCTTATTAGTGAATAATTTTAGCTACTTAACGTGTATTATAACACAAGCATTGATCAGCGAATTTGTTTGACAAACACTTATTCTCTTATGAAAGTGTAGTCCATCTATCTAATGCTTCTCTTACTCATTTCTACTCCACTAGTAAATTGATCATTTATATATCAACTAGAATAATTAACAATAATTCTTTTCTAACGCTTGTAGATGCGTCATTTTTTGTTAGCACATACGAATTCGTTTATTTTCAAAAATAAAAAATTTAACACGTTGTATTTGTGAAAATTCAGGAGAATTCATTAAAATTTTGAGTGATGGATATATCCGCTCCTATAACTTTTTCATATTAGAAATATAACGTACGCAAAGTCATTAAAATTATTCACTAAGTTTAACTATGGTTTGTTTTTAACTTGATGTATGCAACATTTGCATTTCACTTTATCTTAACATAATTCTCTTCTGTACTTTTAGAGGGAAATGATTGGCTTGGTACATGGTCACGGCATATGAAACCGCCATGCTTCCGAGCAATACGCGAATTTCAAAAAGTAAACTTTGCTTTTATCCAATATCATTGTATTTTATTTATAATTTCGTTTATTATTGATAGGTAAATCATTTTCCTGGTTCATTTCAAATTGGTCGTAAAGATCGTTTATGGCGAAATTTATCGCATATGCAAGCGATACATTCGAAACGAGAATTTGATTTTGTACCACAAACATTTGTTTTACCAGCCGATTTATTATTATTAAAACGTATATTCGATGAAACAACCGACTCCCGAGAATGTAAATGGATTATTAAGCCGGTTTGTATATAATTAACTTATATTTAGTGTGTACGTGTGTGTATGTGTATAGTAACATATTCTTTATCAAATTAACTTCAACGTTTGATTTAGCCAGCTAGCGCCCGTGGTCAAGGAATTCGAGTTATTAGTAAATTAGATCATGTACCAAAAAAACGTCCAGTTGTGGTACAAAAGTAAGTTGTAATATTAACTTTCTTTAACTAACATATCAGATATAGTCTATATATATTGTTTTCATAAATTCTAGATATATAGCTAATCCATATTTAATTAATGGACATAAATTTGACTTACGATTGTATGTTTATGTCACAAGTCATGATCCTCTAAGAATTTATCTTTATGAAGATGGTTTAGCTCGTTTTGCATCACGAAAGTATGTATAAATCAATAAAGTGAAAATAAAATGAATATATTTTTATTAAATTATCAGATATTCACCATCAATGAAATCATTAGGTGATAGATTTATGCACTTAACAAATTATAGTATTAACAGATATAACAGCGAATATAAATCAAATAATGATCATGGTGCATGTGCAGGACATAAATGGTATAGATAACAATAAAAATATGTCAAGAATTAATGATAAATTTTATCTTGTCTAGGAGTCTAAAAGCATTGTGGACTTATTTGAAGAAACGAGATATTGATGTTGTGGATGTGTGGGAACGGATTAAAGATTTGATTATTAAAACAATCATAAGGTAATTTCTTCTCGGTTGTTAACTTATTTTACAATTTGTATATCAAAATTGCAAATAAAATCGACTATTAAGAAGAGAGAATGTTAAACAAGATTCACTACGCATTAATACAATTTTTTTAAAAAGAAAATGTTATGCTACCTCAGTACCATAATATATTTTTCAATTATTTATGGAATTTTTATCTGTACATTTTCTTCCATTATTTGTGTTTCTATAAACAATCTATGGATAAATGATTTTTTAGTGCTGATGCTTATGTTAACGTTTTGGTGAAAGCTAATGTGAAAAGAAAATTTAGTGTACATGAATTATTTGGATTTGATGTTATTTTGGATGAACAATGTAAACCATGGATTGTAGAAGTGAACATTTCTCCCTCTTTACATTCCAATTCACCGGTAAGTCAATAGAAAATGTTATTGTTTATCTATTTTAAAAAAAAAATGACTCTATTTATCTTTTAGCTTGATGTTAGCGTTAAAGGATCTATGATAGCTGATCTACTCAATTTATCCGGTTTTCAGATACCCGATAGACGCGATGTACTCTCTGATACAAGTGTCAGAAAGTATGTAGTTAGATTTACGTTATTTCCTCTGTTTTTATTTTGTTTTGTATAAAAATCACTTACTATAGAAAAGCACGTCTACCTAAAAGTCTTATATTTGACAAACGAATATTAGCACAAACATTATCAACCGATGAAAAACTAAAACATCAATATTTTATACAACGGTATAATGATGAAGTACGAGAAATCATATATTTTCTTCACAATTTACCGAAATGAAGTAATATGATTTATTTTTTAGCAAGCACGAAAATCCATATTAGATATGTTCACACCTGATGATATTCGTCTATTAACGGAAACAGAAGATGAATATGCGAGACGAGGTTCATTTGAACGCATTTATCCAACGCATCAAACACGAAAATATTTAAAATATTTTGAAACACCAAGGTATTATAATTTACTTTTAAATGAATGGATTACAAAATATTATCGACTTGAAGAACGAGGTTTGTATCTATTACTTAATGAATATTAAATAAAAAATTAAAATATAATATAATTTAGGTATATCACTTTTAAATAGTTTTTGCAAAAAATTAATTCATATTCAAAATCCAGCAGAAATTTCTGCTCATTTAGTAAGTATAAATTTATTTATCCAATGTTATTAAGAGAACATACATTCTATCTCTTTTTTTTATAGTGGGCACATAACCAAAAACAATGGCAAACATCGAATAGTCATCGTGATACTGACAATGGAGATTGAATATATAATTATATGTTTTATGTATTTCGTATTTTTGGTGAAGGCTCAAGTTTCTCTGGTGCTGTTAAATACTATCTATTCTTTCTTGCCTTTCTGAAATTTTGTTTTATTTTTTGCTGGTTACGCATTAGTTACTGGTGCTCTCTAATTTTCTTCTTCTGTTGCCTTATACAGAAAAACGGTGATCTTTGTATAGTCTAAATTAGTGTTTATGACTTTTTGTTTATTTAATGTGTTATGTAAATTATATTTTTTTTTATCATATACACTTCTTTTATACTTTCGTATGGTTTTTTCTTTTTTAAGAATCAAAAATTATTTTGTTATTTAAAGTATTAGACAGAACTATGAACAGTACATAAAATAATAATACCGAATTTACTTTTATAATTTTGTATCAAAGTAAATTTGTCGTATACTGTTCGTTATTTATACATTAATTGATTTTGTGCACTTATTTCAGTTATTGTTAAAAATGATATATCATTCATTTGATTGTTCGCTCGTGAAATCATTCTACAGTTATGAAAAATTTTCTCTCGTTATATAAAAGTATTAGAATTCTGATTTTAATTTGTCTTTGTGATGTTAACTTGGATATTGTATCTCTATTTCTTGTTATAGCCATCTAAATTCATATTTTTATCTTTCTGTTTAAATTCTGATTGTAACTTTCTAAAAAAAAGAAGAATCCTATCTCGCTACAATTTTTGCCAAAGAGGATTCAAAGTGAGAAGCAAAAGACAAAGGAATTCCATTTTTTGTCTGAAAATCACTGTGATAAGTGTAATCCAGACTAAAACTGTTTCCACCGAGATGGCTGTTTCACATGCTAATTTTTGGCGCAAAAGCGTAATTTTCATAAAAATAGTGTTTGACTCAAGTGCAAAATGATGAGATAAAAATAAATAATTAACATACAAAGCAATAGGTTCTTGATAAAGACATATAATTATGTCTTTATCATTTGTAAACGCTTCTAAATGGGAACGGATGGAGAAATTTCACGAGAGATAGGAACACATAAACAATCCTATGAAATTCCTGTTCAAGAATTATATTTTCCTACTAAAATCCTAAATAATTCCTGCTACATTATGATTCAGTCATCGCATCTTCTTGTTAGGATCCTAACAGGATCCTAGCAAATCCTACGACTTTCCGGTATACCTGACTTCTTTAGGATTCTGTAAGATTTTCCTAGGATCCTACCAAAAAGTCAGCTAAGTCCTGGCAGGAGCCTGGCCAGATTTCTTAAGGATCCTGTCAAGAAATATATAGGTTTCTTACTAGGGAAACGTATTTTATAATCCGTAACTAACCGGACTTAATAAAAAAAGGTAGAGAAAGCACATTCCTTCACACAAATGAACTAAACGGCTGTACAAAGGATTGGAAAGCCATTGATTTTGTCGATAGGAATCACGAATTTCACCATGTGATTCATAGCTTTAAGATGTGGGCAAACGATCTGGTCTTGCGAAATTTCACAAGAGGAGACAAAATGGAACGAGTTTTTTTGAATTATTAGACGAAACGAGACCAGATGAAATTCGTTCTTTCTCGGCACATTGGTTGTAGCTAAGAACGTCTCAAAAACTGATTACAGAAGTATGGAAAGACTTTTATTTCTTTTCCTTTTAGTTTTTGTATCTTTGATGTGATAAGCATAGCTAGACGAAGGTAGAATGATGGCTAGAGGTCTGGATGGCGGTCCCGGTCCCGCGAGGCTTTTTACGAGGCCAGCACCCAGAAAAATCTTTTTTACGAGACCAAGACCGGGACCAAGAGGTTTGCAGGACGGTCCCAGGCCTGTGGGAAGGTCCCGATCCCGTAGGACTTTTAATGAAACCGGGACCAGGTTTTTTTGCACTACCAGCTTTTTCAAAATATAATGAATTCCGATACAAATTTAATAACTTTTGATGGAAAAGATAAAGATCTGCGGTTCTTAGCAATGGATAGACAAGACTAAAGAACATCAGTCTATGAAAAGATTAAGTCTGATCTTGAGGTCTGCGACTCTCAAGACCCAGGTAAAAGAACCTTACTGTGAGATCTTATAAGATTCTTGTACGATTTCGTCTGATTTCGTAAGATTCTGTAAGAAACATAGAAACTGATTCTTGATGTAAGATCTTATACTGAGATTTCATCAGATTTCGTAAGATTTTCGTGTGATTTTTATAGAATTTTATAAGATCTTGTAAGATCTTGATCTGATTTTTGAACCTTGGGAACGACTGGAATAAAGATTATCGACCACAGTGAGCCTCTTGAGAATGTTTGTTTTCATCAAAAATTAAAAGTCCAGTAAAAATCTACTTCAGATAAAATAGTCCATTTTAGGTGATTCTTATACAAAATTGAAAAATTCGTAACTGACTTGAAATCGGTTCAAAGCGTTTCAACACCTTGCCTCAAAATATACTCTATTTTAGATGCCTTAAAAAGTGATGTGGTTCAAATTGCGAAAAGAATCTGTTTGTATATCTAAAATTTTCAGCAAACCCCACAATCTAAACTTATCCTACATTCAAAACATCATAAGAACGTCTAGCAAATGTTGCTAAAACAGTTTCCTAAATTTATGTTTGTTTAGAATCACCACTTTTAAGTAGAAACGGAAAAACTTGAAAAGTTGAAAGTGTTCTTTTCGTTCTAAATGCGTTATTGGAGGTATCCATACATACGACTTAAATGTCTCATTCATTTAACATATCCAACACAACAACTTCGGATAGAAAAGATCGCTCGCCATTTTTTCAGATGATCAATCAAAGTAGCAAGTTTCTTGTACTTGGATCGAAAAGAAGCTATTATGCTTTATTCCGTACGAAGCGTTTATTGAAGTAGGATCCAAAAAATGTCCTACACCATGCAACCAATCTCGATAAAACTTGCAGAGAATATTGCTTATGCTGTTAGTTTATGGCAAAAGTCATAGCCGAAAATATAAAATCCTTCACAAACAAACAGACATATCGAAATGAAATTCTTAGCAAAATCTCTAGAGTTTTTTTGGTGAGTAGAGATATGTAGCATTTGTTCTAAACGAAATTACAGACATCTAAATTTAAACACGGCTGCAGATTTAGAAGCGGAAGATTATTGAGAGTTGTCTCAGTTACCTTTTAGTATGGATTTTAAATTAAAAGTCTGTAATAAAACTTTCTTGCTCATCAATGAAATACTCTGTTCTTAGGAAAAGTAAAAATTATAGTAGTTAACACATTATAGCAGTAAACACTTAAGGAGATCCGTCCGTGTAAAAAACCTGACCGAGTTTTGACCAAACAAATCGACTTCCTCGGGAAGTCTTAACCGTGCAAAGCGTAAAATTTTCTTTTCCCTGATATCCGAACTATGGTCTAAACCATTCTACCTAGCCTCCTAGAATTTTTACCTCGTCTTTTTTAAAGATTTCATATATCCTGTGGCACTTCAGGAGTGCCACAGGGTAGTATTTTAGGTCCAATCCTCTTTTTGACCTTTATTAATGATCTTCCGACTTCCCTGGGAGCCTCAAAACTGACTTCTCTTTTCGCTGACGGTGTTTTCTTTGTTGTGGATCTTGAAAATGCAAATTTAAGCGCAGCTCAAGAATGTGTGAACGAAATGTCGGAGTGGTGTGAGAGGATGCTAGTGAAACTTAACGCTAATAAATGTCAATGGATTGTTTTCTCTACTGTTCTTTTCAGTACAATATTAAGTTAGGTGAACTGAAACTAAATGGCATTTCGCTTGAGAACGTTTCTTCTCAAAATTGCTCGGAGTACATCTTGTTCACAATCTAACTTGGAAAGAACATAAATCAGACGGCTGCTAAATGCAGAAGGATGTTAGATTCTATTTCTAGAGTGTTCGGCACCGCACCACTATATCTCCGTCTTCATCTCTGCAAAGTATGTATCAGACCGGTTCTTGAATATGCTTGTATTCTTTACGACAGTTCATTTAAATCACATCTGTCTATTTTGGATGATGTGCAGCGTTTGGCTGCCAGATTTATAATGAAAGACTACTCGATCGATCCGATAACACTTCATTCCAAATTAAAACTTTGTTGTCTCGAAAATCGTAGACTCTATTTCAAACTCATTCATTTCCATAAAATTTACTATAGCACAAGTACTCTTTCACATCTTAACCTCACTACACCTTCTCATAATCGGAAATCTATGCGTTTTGGGCATGATAAACAGGTTCTCACTACACATTTTTCCACAAAAGCTTCATCCTCTTCTTTCTTACCCCTCACCTCTAAGCAGTGGAATGATTTTCCTCCCTCAATAGCACACACGGCCAATTTAAATTTATTTCAAATGCTTCTCAAAAATCATGTAAATTATTTTTAGTATGTTCTTGATCTTTCTGCTATTCTTCCGGATCATAAAGATTATTGTTGTTCTTTCTCTTTTTCTCTCACTGTATTGTGATTCATTTTTTCTCTCTTACTATGGACAACAGTGCCTCTTATGTAAGCGAAACTTTCTTTTTTACTATTTCCTGACTATGTAACATCTTTAGTCAAAATACATTCATTCATTCATAAAAAAAGAGAAAATAGGAGATACGTGTGCGATCAACCTTCTCTGTTAAACAGATAATTCAAGTTAATAGCAAAACTGTAATTATCTGATAAAGCTTGCTGACAGCGAAGAGAAATGTCTTCTATCTTTTCTTAACGCCCACACTTTATTCGACATACCTGGCGACACCTGATATTTTTTTGACTCTGGTCAATGAAAAGGGCCTTTATTATCGTTTTACTGGCTGTCTATTTTCTGCCAATCATGAAATGCCTGGTTATTGGAATCATAAGTAAATAAATATAAATTAATAAATTAATATAAATAAAAGTAGAAAAGAAATAACTGATTGCATGTTCGTTTATACGTCTTTTGAATTTTGGTAGACGTTTGAATAGAGAGAGTATGGCCAAATAAGATCTGAAATTATGGGTCACCTTGTACTGCATTTGTGCCCTGCAAAAGTCATGCGTAACATCATGGACGCGTCCAAATTACATAAGGTGAATTTTGACGCTACAATGATATGAGTTTTGCGAAGTAAAATAATCTCCTCGCTAGCATTATTTTTTATATTAGAAAGTATAGAATACATTTGAATTTTGGAGAAAAGAAATTTTTCTGTGCTCTTTTTCGTAAGAGTATCTGAAAGTTTGTCGTAAGTACAAAACACGTGTCCGTAATACATCCAAATCGTTAAAACTTATATAGTTCGTAGCGTCCATGCTTCTCATCAGTGTTTCTAATGAGAATTGTAATCAAAATGGATTGAACCATTTTGCTCTGAAGCCTAAAGTGGCACTAACCACTTTGTGCTAAACTGCAAAGTGGTCTCGAATAAAGCATCAGCAAGCAGCGTTTATAAAACTGTTTTCTGCTTGGGTTCTAAAACATGGACCTTTCCAGTGTTTCTAATGAGAATTTTCAGCAGAGCGTACACAAACGTGGTAATTAATAAGATCAATCATGATGGCAAAACTAGAGAAGAAAACAAAGTGGAAATTTTAGAAAGCAAAGTGGTTCGCAACGTGGTTTTTTTTACTTTCAAAGTGGAAAACAGAGTGGATTTCATTTTTACAAAGTGGAAGACCACTTTGCTCTCACGGGGACCACTAATCATTAGAAACACTGCTTCTCATGACTTTTATAAGAGCAAAAACGAAAAATTTATTTATTTTGGGAGGTCCTACATCACATGATACACACAGTTAAATCTATCTAGCTTTCAGTCGTTCATAAACTGACCGATCAGTGTAACAGTAAAACATTCATTTTTCTTTATTTGCAAAATAGTACTTTGACAAAATTGATACATTTCAATTCTCTTTTATTTTCGGTACACTTTTCAGAAAGGAAAATCTGGTTCTAGCCTTAGTTGTCTTCTTTATTTTGTTATTTTTGATTACTCTTTTTGTGTTGTTTAATTTGAGTCAGTGTTATTACAGATCGGTGACCTTTGATGACTCTCATTTTTCGTGAATAAAACAGTCTTAGTCTTATATTAGTCTTACATTCATCTTTCTTTATTTGCAAGATAGTACTTTCACAAAATTGATACATTTCAGTTCTCTTTTATTTTTGATACACTTTTCAGAAAGGAAAATCAAAAATGTTTATGCGCCATTCTTTGACAAAGTAAGTCTTTTAGAAAAATCTCGTTTGTCTTCATAAAACGGTATAAACTTTCGAACATAGAGTTGAGAGTAATTAAGACAAAAATATTTCTTGAAAACGAAATTTTATTTGTTTTGCTTTGCTTTGCTTTTAGATTTGCCATTACTTTTGGTAAACGTTTTTCTTTCACTCAGATTAATCGAAAGATGAACATCACACACGCACCAGCACTTTCCGATAACTATATGTATTTGATTACTGATAACAAAACAAAAGAATGTGCTGTTATTGATCCTGCGGAACCAGATGCGGTAAATATATTTTCTTTTTCTTTATGCCGATTCAATTTGTTACTTTCTTTCAAATATTAGCTTATCAAATTGATTAAAGATGAAAACTTGACGTTAAAAATGGTTTTGACTACTCATCATCATGTAAGAATCTATGTATTTTTTTTGAACTATCACAGCTTTCATCCGATCTCTACTTCGATGAATGCACATAATAATTCATCATTTTAGGCGGATCACGCTGGTGGAAATGAAAATTTAGTCAAACAAGCAAAGAAAGAACTCGGACTTAAAGATATTCCGATTTATGGTGGAGAAAAAGTTCAAGCGTTAACTCATATGGTCAAAGATAATGAGGAAATTCCGGTATGTAGTATTCCTAGATTATACTAAAAACCCGAAAATAAAATCTTGTCTTTAAAATATAATAAATATTCGCGTAATCCATTACTAAGGATCAAATACTGTATATCGGACTTTAGTTTCAGATTGTTAGCATATTTTAATAATACTCCAAGTTGATCGAGCTTGAAGACTAACTTGTATAGTTTTTATTTGCACGTGTAAAGAAACATACTAACAAACTCATCATAGACTATTTCATTTTGTATATCAATAGTATTATGCATCTGTTCTTAAATTCTTAACTTTAGCTCGGACAATTGAAGATCACATGTTTAAGTACACCATGTCATACGGCAGGACATATATGCTATCTTGTTGATGATGGGAATAAAAAAGCTGTCTTTACCGGTGAGATACTTTTCCGTTCATTTCACGTTTTATTTCATAATTATTTCCTTTACTTTAGGTGATACACTTTTTATTAGTGGATGTGGTAAATTTTTCGAAGGAACCGCTGAACAAATGTATTCATCTTTACAAAAATTAGCTAAACTCGATCCTCAGACGGTCTGTATACTACTTGAAACTTAGTTATTCAATTTTAATTAAAATTCTTCTCTTTTTTCAGGAAGTATATTGTGGACATGAGTATACGTTACAAAATTTTAAATTTGCCGTTACAGTTGAAGAAAACAATAGTGGACTTCAGGATAGAATGAAACAAATGCAATCCAAAAAAGTCACAATACCATCAACAATCGGTGATGAACTGCGTTATAATCCATTTATGCGTACAAATCAGGAAGATGTACAAAAATATACTGGCACAAAAAATGAAATTGAATGTTTGGCAATATTAAGAGAGAAGAAAAACAATTTTAAATCAACTTAAATATAAGGAAATATTATTTATATACTTTTAGTTATTTTTATTTCAGCAAATCTGTTTTATTATTTCTTTTTTATTGAAAAAAAACACCAACTCATTTATCCGTTATTGTCTGTATTTCTACTACTGATGTTTAGAGATTGGCAGAACAGATATTTTTATGAACATCATCATAGTCCATGCATTATTGTACTTTCTAGAAAGATATGACTGCAAATAATGATGATAAACGAACGGAAAAGCAAAAAATGCTTGATGGTGACTTGTATACGGCATTTGGCCCCGAGCTGTATAATGAACGTATTCATTGTAAAAAGCTTCTTTACGAATACAATTTAACTAAACCAGATGAGCAAGAAAAACGATCGCAAATAATTAAACAGTTGTTTGGTAAAGTGGGCGTAGGTCCTTTCGTTGAGCCGCCGTTCCTCTGTGATTACGGTTATAATATTGAATGGTAAGAATAGAATTCTCAATACAGTAGATTTTAATTTTTGCTAGATGTTTTTCCTTCTACTCTGTTCAGGGGTAACGATAGTTATGCGAATCATAATTTAATAATATTGGATGTGTGCAAAGTAACAATAGGTAATAATGTTTTAATCGGTCCGGATGTTAAACTCTATGCTGCCACACACCCAACGGATCCGCAGACCCGTTTAGATGGATACGAATATGGAAAGCCAATTACAATCGGAAATAACGTTTGGATTGGTGGTGGCGCAATTATTAATGCGAATGTGACGATTGGCGACAATTCGGTTATTGGATCGGGTTCAGTAGTGACTAAAAATATTCCAGAGAATGTTGTTGCTGTTGGAAATCCTTGTAAAGTGATTAAAAAATTGGAACCTCCTACAAGGAAAAGTGCAGCAACAGGTANAATTTAATAATTTTAAGAGTTTGTAATGTACAAGTTGTATATGTTAGTGCTCCATCTTTAATGTATATCGAGAATATAAGAAATTTAAATCTTGTAAATGTTTCATTTTAGCCAGCCTGAAGATGATATCAGAAAGGCATCGAAAGCTTGCAAGTAAATAAAAGTTTTTATTGAAAATGATATTCATAGCAGTGTTATATTTCTTATATTCTCGATTATTTATTACTGCTCTACCTTCTGGGTTTAATGTGTATATCAATTGTATTTCGTTCATTTGCAGATAGCCACAAAAATTCATCCGTCCTGTTTGTATATCAGCGATGATTAAATCTCGCCTATGGCGTCTTGTTTTGTTATTCGTTTTGTTTTACGTTGCATTTTTAATTTATCTTCTTATGTCATTCAATTCTGATCAACAACCAAACACTCTTGCTGATGATAAGCGTTCTGTATCCAGTGTCGATGTGCTATCTCATAAAATAAATATTCGTGGTGTCGAAATAAATGACAGTCAAAAAGTATTTGTACCGTTTTTAACTCCAGGAAAACGGGGCAATTATGAACCAAAAGAAATTCCGAAAAACACTGGACCTGGTGAGGATGGTGAAGGTGTAGTACTTACGGGTAATGATGTAAAACCAGGTGCAAAAAGTGTGGAAGATTATGGTTTTAATATGGTTGCTAGCGATCAAATTTCATTGGATCGTCGTGCACGCGATACAAGACCGGATGAATGTAAATACTGGAATTATCCAAGTGTAGAAAATTTACCAACAGCAAGTGTTGTCTTGGTGTTTTTCGATGAAGGATGGTCAACATTAGTTCGAACGTTTCATTCTGTTATTAATACATCACCGAAAGAACTGTTAAAAGATATTATATTAGTTGATGATTACAGTGATCAAGAACATATTACAGTGAGACTACCTAAATATATCGAGAAATGGAATGGTCTTGTCAAATATGTCAGGACACCTCAAAGGTAAAGTAGAGTTTCATAAGTTAATTAAGCACTATTATTTTACTTTTTGTTTTATTAAGAGTTGGTTTGGTGGAAGCAAGAGTGATTGGTGCGAGGGCGGGTGCTGGCGATGTAATCGTAGTCCTTGATGCACACTGTGAATGTGTAAGCAAATATATTTTTTTTCTACCTATAGATGAAATTCGAAGCGTTAAAGGACGACATTGATCATGGTTTTAGGTCACAAATTGGCTTCCTCCACTATTAACACGCATTGCATTAAATCCTAAAACTTTGGCAGTGTAAGTTATAAATTGTGAACTAGAAACTTTTACTTATTAGCTTAATTTCTTTCTAGTCCCATTGTAGATGGTATTGAATGGAATACATTGAGACATAATCCTGCTTATGGAGGTACACTATACAGAGGTATCTTTGAATGGGGCTTTTTGTACAAAGAAACGGAAATACCGAACAGAGAACGTGTTTTAATGAAACATCCAACAGAACCATATAAAAGTCCAACGGTAATCGTCTTTAAATGATTATTTCAAAAAAGTATTTCAATAAAGAAATGAAATCTCTTCATTTAGCATGCCGGTGGATTATTGGCCATAAGGAAAGATTGGTTCTTTAAATTAGGAGCGTACGATCCTAACATTAAAATTTGGGGCGGCGAGCAATACGAATTATCTTTCAAAGTTTGGATGTGCGGTGGGCAATTAGAATGGTAAAATTTTTCTTTTCTTTTCAATTTATTAAATTCAGATTAGGCATTTTTAGGGTGCCATGCTCGCATGTGGGACATATTTATCGTGGACCTCGAAAACGAAGTATGCATCCGCGAGGCGGAAATTTATTTCAGAGTCATATAAATCACATGAGAGTAGCTGAAATTTGGATGGACGATTATAAGAAATATTATTATCGACGTCAGCCAAATCATGGACATTTGAACATAGGAGATGTGACAGAATATAAAGAATTACGAAAAAATTTAAATTGTTCGTCGTTTCAATGGTTTATAGACAATGTTGCGTATGATCTTGTTGAAAAATATCCGTTACCGTCGGAAAATGTTGTTTGGGGAGAAATGGGTGTGACCATGGATAATCAACAATTATGCGCTGATACACTTGATAATACATACGGAAGGCCTGTAGGAATAAGTGGATGTCATCATCAAGGTAAAAAGGTGATTTTTGACAATGATAAAAAAGATTTTAAATTTGGTTACTTGTTTTCAGGAGGAAATCAATTATTTCGAATCAATGCCGAGGGTGAATGGTCATCGACTGAACGTTGTTTTGTATCTGACGGTGAGTTGGTTATCCAACAACATTGTGTTCAAATGGGAAAATGGATACCGAAAGGAGAGTGGAGCTATAATAATGAGACGAAACAAATTCGTTCGACCAAAGTCTATAAATGTGTAACTGCTGACAGCAAACGTCTGTATTTAGACGAATGTAAAACTGATTCTGTAGCGCAAAAATGGACTTGGAAAGAAATATATTTGTGAGAAATAAAGTACCGTCATTTTCATGATAAAAACCAATCGCATTATAAAATCAATGGCATGAGAACATGGACCAGATTTTTTGTTTCATCTTATTATCGACATCATCATATCTATCCTTATTTTGGTGCTGTTGCGTTCATTTTCTTTTGCATTTTTTTATTTCATTGTCTAGTCTTAGCTGTAACTCTTTCACTTTTCATCAATAATCAGTCTGCTCATAATGAAACTCTCTGTCGATAGAAACGAATTTGATAAATGGTACTTTCAAGTTTCCTTGTTTGCCAAGGATTGCAGATTATCAAAACTTATCTGCACCTTCAATAATTTTGATGTATATCTATTTGAGTATCACCCCACTAGAAAAGTCATTGTTTTTAACCAGTATAAACTGAAATTTGTTCACATCATTCCTAGTGGTACATGTTGCCAAAGATTAGAATTGTGAAAACAGTTCTCTTTTTTCTTCATAATTAATCTCGTTACTGTAAGGGAGTGTTTTTATTGTTGTTTTATCAACCAATGTGATAAATGCTCTATTTTTAATAAATACCCTAGTTTCATACCTTGGAACACTGTTGTTTTCTGTTTTCGTTTTTCTTTTATTAAAATTATATTATTTTTTTATTGTTTTTTCTTTTGTTTTTATTTCATAAAAAAGATTTGTTAAAAAATTCATTCTACTATGCGATACGTTATGTATTCATTCTCAGACGATTAATAGTGCAACTTTTTTGACAAAAACAAAAAAGTTTTTATATAAAGAAAAGTTTATAGATTATGCTATAGTCAATATGGAAAGACTTAAGAACTTCTGGCAAGAAAGAGAGAGAGAGAAAATTGGTAGTGGATGTCAGCAATTTCTTGCAGTGATACTTCTTGCCTCTATTTACAAAGTTGAACATTCATCATCATTTTATTTTGTTGAACAAGTGTCTCTCATTTTGAAAATAAATTATTAGAATTCTTTTAGATACATATTTAAAATAGAATAAAATTTATTTCGTATATCTAGCACATTCGAAAGTAGAATGATCTGAAGTAAAATATTATATATAAAAAGTCTTTTTTGTATCAGATAATCATTTTTCAAATTTTCTCTGATTTTAGTTATCCAAAAGAAAATGTTTTATTTAAATTCTTTATCACGATGTACACTAGCATCAGTTCGACAATGTTTTTTGAAATATTCCTCTGTTCGAACTAATTATTTTTTACTGTAAGTATAAATGAATATCTTCTTTTTTTTTCTTCTTCTAATCATACTCTACTAATTGTTCTTGCATTATTGTCTCTAGTCTACCTGAAACACCTCCAAGAATAGAGGGAAATGATTTATTATTTACCGTTGATACATTTCCGTCTTATAACGAAGCTAATACAAGTATTTTAATAAGTGGTGCACTACGTTTGTGTACAGAAACGGATACTGAGATTGATTTACACATTGAAAAATTAGCCAATGGTATGTATTAGCTGACTAATTAATAAATAGAACGTGTAATTATTTAATGAATACGATTTAGACTCTCTACTTGATTCGATCAATGCTAAACCAACATTTGAATCAATATTTCATCCAATTGAAGAGTTTAGCGTAGCATTTGAAACAGCATTTTGTACAATTAGACAATTATCCCTAGTCAATAAAAGTGTTGTCAAAGATTTATATTCAAAGGTTAATTATTACTTTAAATTTTTTAGTATGAACGTTCTAATTAAATGTTGTTATTTTTAGTTTGAAACTCATTTTTCTAATATTCGAGAAGAACGTTTTCAAAATATAAATCTTTTTAATCTTATACAGGCAAGAACAGGCATGGATAAAAAAAGATTACAAAATTCTATTTTAACAACTATAATATGTTGTTTTTTCTCTTCAAGGATCTGAATAATGATCAAAACCGTCCTCCACTAAGTGATTGGCAACAAACATTAGTAAATTTATATTTGTTAAATGGGAAACTTGCATTATGTCATGGAACATTTGTAGAACGTGAACGTTTACGTTTGGTACAGGGAAAACTTGGACAATATCGAACAAATTATTTGTAAGTGATATGATTTTATTCTTGCTCGTAAATAATTAGAAATATTATATTTTAATGATCAATCTACTGACTCTTTTATTTAGACAAAAAGTTCTTTATGCCACCAAAAAATTTACTCATATTGAAAGTGATGTATTTGCAGTTGAAACATTACCATTTCACATTAAACAACGTCTTGCTATTGATAAGTAAGATAAATAAATGAAATAATATTTTTTATTCATCTATTCTATTTATTATGTTAGAGCGAATCCTGAACGTGGTCCATGGAAAATTGATTTATCTGATCAAACCTTTCATGCAATGATGACCTATTGTAGTAATCGTGAATTACGAAAAGCCCTTTTCGAAGCCTATTATGGTCGTGCATCACCCACAGTGGACAGACATGAGAGAAATGTTGAAAATGTTGTAGAGATAGGTAAACGTCGAAGACAAATTAGTAAATGTCTTGGTTATTCATGTTATTCCGATATGATATTACAATCAAATATGGCTCGTACAAAAGAAAATGTTCAAGATTTTATTGAAACTGTTCGTTCAAAATTAAAACCTGTTCATGATGAAGAAATTCGACAGTTAACTAATTATGCTCAATCAAAATCAAATAAAGCAACAGCTAAAGATTTAAATCAATTAAAAATGTATGATATTGCTTACTGGCGACAACGACAATGTCAAGAACAATATTTATCATCCGTTGATCAATTAACAATCAGTAGACATTTTTCATATGAACATGTGTTGAAAGGACTATTTACATTTGTTAAACATTTATTTGATGTCGATTTTGAGCTGACAAATGATATTATTGACGAAAATAAATGGCATCCATCTGTACAAGTATTTAAATGTTTGGAAAATGATTCTATAATTGGCTATCTATTTGTTGATACTTATGCAAGACCAGGTGAAAAATCAGAGTTTGTATGGGGTGGTACAGGAAGAGGTTAGTGAATGAGTATCTATTGAACTTACTAATCATCTAACATATCATTCTTCTAACTAGATCTCTGCCAAAGACTTAATATTTTACCAATAGCCTATTTGAATTTAAGTTTACATCATATTGATGGTGCTGTTACTTTATTAACTACTGAGCAATTAAAAGAACTCTTCTTTTCGGTATGATACGATTAATGTTTTATTTCATTATGTTTAATGTTCGTTTTTTTTATAGTTTGGACGTGTTTTACAAGTATTACTAACAAAATCTCAAAATCATGAATTATCTGGTGTTAGAAATATAGAATCAGATGCTTTGGATATTGTACCCTATTTCATGTTACAATGGTTATATGATGGATCAATATTATCATACATAAGTGAAGATATAAACACGAAACAATTGTTAAAACAAGATATGTTTGATACAGTATTTCGAAAAGTCAATCAACATATGATAACACATGATATTTTAAGACAATTATATCTAAGTGCATATGATTTAGAAATACATACAAATTGTACAAATTATGTAGATGCTATGAGAAAGTTATGGCCATTATTTACATCGATACCATTGCATAATAGAGATTTTCATCCATGTAGTTTTCAACAGATTTATTGTGAACATGATGCATCCAGTTATTATTCACATAATTGGTCAGAAATGATTGCATGTGATTTGTTCAATGCATTCAAAGAACATCAAAATGATGAACAAATAAAAACATTAGGAAAAAGGTTTATATACATTTTTTCTCTCCATTTCAATGATTAGTATGTTGTTATTTTTTTTGAATAGATTTCGTGACACGATACTGGCACGTGGAGGTTCGATTAGTATGAGAGAATTATTTCGTGAATTCCGTGGACGTGAACCAATTTACGACCATTATATCCAAAAAAGTTTAGAAAAATAGACTGTCCAGCTATTTTTTTGTTATTTGTGTTTTATAATAACTTGGTATTTCTTAGTAAACTTTTTAAATAACGTTAATGAACGTAAGATCGGAATGTTGTTTGTCAAAAGGACAATTCGTATTTAATTTTAGTATGTTGTATCAATCATCGGCCTATTGATCTATTTAACATCTTACAGCTTCACAATTGTTTGAATTAAAGAAAAATAGAGATGATTTTTATACCTTTTTATAATTTCAAAAACAAAAATAAGAGAATGGACAAGAGTAAAGTACTGCGTTTGTATTTCATTCATACTAAATGACAATTTGTACGAAACGAACATGAACTACATCAATAAAAGACTGAATGAAATCTCTTTCTTTTTATTTTCTATAGGTGGATTAAGTATGGATTAAGCCCTTCATTTATGAATTAATATAACTTGTCACTTAGCATGAATGAATTGTTATCACACAGAATAGACAGAGGATAAAAGAAAAAAATTTAAAAAAATAATCATTAGGAGGAAATGAATATGGCTCATTCTTCCAGCATTTATTTCAATCTTTTGATTATCAGTAAGACATAAGGATGAAAATATAAATGAATTCGATCATGGATTTTTGAAACAAAATCGAATAAAAATACAGGTGTAGAACAAGAGAGGTCAACGTTAAAAAAACCAAAGTGAGACAAATTTTGAAAAATAAGGGACATAGGAGGAGAAACGTTCTAGAAAAGAAACAGAATAAGTAAGCAGTTTTCTCTTCACATGTGATTGAGAAAGTATAAAAACGTTTAAATCGGTGAACATAAATCATGTCCAAAATTAATTTTTTCAAATAAAAAAAATCTTTTTTAAAAAATTCGACGGGCCTAGATTCAGACGTTTTTTATGAAATTTTTTATTCGAGAATCAATATATGTTAGATATATCATTCGATGCAATTTTTTGAGTAGATGATAAATCTACTGTTCATATTACACTTTTTTCCAAAAAGTCTTAAAAATCCATTGCTGTCTTTTTATTGTTATTTGTAGTAGTAATATATATTTAAAGAGAATGATTAAATGTATAAAACTTTTTTTATTGTTATGCCTATATTCATGGCTAATCTTATATATATTTATAAATCTCTTGATTATTTTAAAATTAATGAATGAATATTATCGTAACTAATATGTTCGATTTACTGGCTCATACCTAAGTATGCTCATACTCACTGAAAATGAAGATCTGTAATTCTACATTAATTATGATATCTATATCAACGTCTAAATATCCACCATTATATGTCTTGACTAATGGCTATTAGAAGAATATTTTAAAAGGTAAAAAACGCAAAAAATCTCTGAAAAGGGACAGATATTTCGGAGGACTAAAAGTTCGAATGTGAGTTTGGAGTCCCATTTGTGAGAGAACAATTGGTGATCGTGTATAGAACAAAAGATCACTATGAAGCGACCGATCATTTACTTTCGAGAGATGGGACAACTTTTCTCTGTCGTTCAATCAATATGACAGTGTATTTCTAGTGATCACATTTTATTTACGCCAACTTTTTTAGTTATTTTGATACACTAATTTTCGAAAAGTTGGATAAAAGACTAGACTAAAAAATCAAAACTGTACAACAGATGATGTGAGCATGGAAAGGACGGCATCAATGAAAAACAAAAAAATTGTATTACATCAAATGACATCAGTCAATCTTCTTGCATTAGTTTTTTCATCGATCCGACTTATAATTGATGTGAATTTACTTAACGTTTGTTCAATTACTGTTAAACGATCTTGTACACCTTTTAACTGATCACTGATCGTTAATGGTTGTTGTTCAATATGTAGTTGGTGGTGTTGTTGAGTAAATCGCACCGACCTTGAACGATTGCTTTTTCGAAATGCATCTGATGTTGACTCACGATCTAACGAAGCACCTCCAAGAGTTGTATCAAGTCTCAAAAATAAAATATAATTCGCTAATAAAATTTTTCCGATCAGTCTACTTTTGTAGTCGACAATTGACACAATGATACTCATTCTTCTAAACGTGATGTTGACTAAGTCCTTCATTCAACTGAGAGATATGAAGATAAATATACTACTCAAAACTACTAATTTTCTTCCGGTGGTAATGAAGAAAAGCAAATAAGCTAACTTTTTGATCAAAGACAAATATATACCTTCGTTGTAATTCTTTCAGTTTAATCATAATAGCTTGATTATCTTCAACTGTTTGTTTAGCAATTTCAGTCATATCTGTCGGTTTACGTACTTCCTAATGACGATAAAAAAAACGAATTAATGAAAATAGAAAAAACAAAGAACAAAATCATCTTACCTGAAACTTACGTCTTGCAACAAAAAACTTCATTTGTCTTATAACTCGAATAGCTTGTTTGAATCTGTCCGGTAAACTATAAAAAAAGAAATATGATTATAGACTTGAACAAAGTGATCTATATACTATTTTATTTACTCGTCAACGATTGCCGTTGATTGTCTTGTGCCAAGTAGCAGTTGTTGAGTAGCAGCATCTGCATCTGTTCGAATTAAAATCTTGAATAAGTAATTATTATTTGTTGAAGGAAAAAGTTCAAAATTTAATAAATCATTATCGTTACCTAAATTGTGGAAAATTGAACGCCTCTGTCGTAATGGCGGAATATTACGTGAAATTAATAATGATCGGTTTGCTGAAATTAAAATAATTGATTGATCAATAAGAATTAAAACAATGTAAACAAATATATTTACCTAGCTGAGGATCTACTAGTTTGTATAATCTCCAAGTTGCATTATTTGCAGTCAAATTGGTTGTAGCATGAACTCTCCAAGCAGCCTGAAGCATAGTGCGCTCGTTTAAGAAAAAGATCACGCAAATTGTCTATACATATTCTACTACCTGAATAAGAGATGCACTAGCTGGATACTGTTTATGATAAAGTTTTTGACGTTCTTTTTGTTGAACATGTAGTGCAAAACCAGAACCTAATATTCCCTGAAACAGAAAGAGTTAGTATCAGCTATTTATTAAAGCTAACGAAAAGACAAGAAACAACGTTTCCTTGTTTACTAGCAACATTTAGACACTTACTGCAGGTAAAGCGAAGAATGCAATGCCAATTATACTCAAACATGCTGTGATAATTCGACCAGGCCCTAGAGTTACGTTGTAACAACATTTGAAACATTGCTACAATTGTTTAAAAGATCAAAAACATACATGTATGAGGTGTTTTATCGCCGTATCCAATCTAAATAATACGCAATGAAAAGTGACAATTAACATTCTAAAAATATTAGTTTCGGCTTACTGTAGCTACTGTGACAATTCCGAACCATAAGGCATCGGCATACGACTCAAATGGACGATGACCGTCTGGCATTTTAAAATCTCTTTCCGCTATATAAATCAGATAAGCTGTAAAAATAAGGAACACAAATCCCATATACATTGTGGTAATTAACTCCTGTAAAGGTTGAATAAACATTTTGTTAATTTCTTTAAATAGATTCATTATTAGCCTTACTATTCGATGCATATAGGCAACTGTTATAAGTAGTTTCCAACTGTGTGCATGTCTATCAACGTGTAACATTCGAAGTATTTGAAAGAATCGAATGATCCTAAAAGGGAAAAAAAGAGATAAATACATATTAAAAAACAAAAAAATTCATTCTACCTTAATGCTGGGGCTGCCATAACCGTATTAGCGCTACCTAATTTGCCCGTCATATGAAAAGCAATCACTGACGAAGAAGCAACTATGACAAATAGATCTATTATAGAAAACAAACAAAATCAGTTGCCATCAAATATATAACTATAGATAAATATATAATTGTTTCACTTACCAACCATACTTATTGGAGTTTTGATGAAAAGTAACCGCCCTATCCATCCTTTAAATTTGGCTCTAGCTCCGGATGACCATACTCTTACTACATATTCTGTAGCAAAAAATATCAATAACGTTATTTCCTATAAATAACAAAACGTCCAATTATATTGGCCATTTTCGAGAAGATAAAACATTTGACATACAACATAGATGAATTTATTTGTTATTTTTTCTTCATATTCACTAATTGTACATACAACACCAATAACAAGACAAAACAGAACAGCAAGAAAACTAAATTAAACAAAACAGGTAATCAGTTGACTTCGTCGGTATAAAAAGTATAAAGGTATAAATAACAGACGATTGTGCAAGTGTACTAGTGTGTGGTATTATGGAGATATGTAACATGCAGTCTGCAGAAAATGAGCACGCAGCAGACGAACAATAGCCTTAACTTACATTTCGATTTTGATTTACTAAAAGAGAACAATCACTTTTTCTCAATTTTAAGGATAATAATTTATTGATAAAAAGGGGATGACGGCACAGAATATCAAATTAAAAATACTTACATTGAAAAATGATAAAAAAAACAGCACCATCCAGCTGGTCGTTCCAAAAAATTATAGATTTTCTTTTGTAAAACCTTGATATCAACAGACTGTCCCATTGTTTATCTGTTGTCAATTTGACGTGAAAATAATGACACTCATTTTACATATTGTATGATATTACAAATATTGAATCGCAAAAGCAAAATCTAAACACAAATCAGTACGCTTTCAGAAAAAAAAAGCCAACACAGTTGTTCTTCTTGTTTTGAAAGTGCATATAGCAAGGCATATAGTGTTTTATCTAGCAGAGCTGTTAAAATTAGTAGAATTAATTACTCTTATTTAAGCAATATCTAGGCAAAGAAAATAAGCCAGCAATCAATCAGTAAATATAACGATGTATACATTCTCGATTACTACAGAAATAGATGTGGAAAAGACCCAAATAGTTACTTTAGTTCACAAATTTGCTATTTTAATTGATACATTAAATGACGACTGCATGCAACCGAAATAAATATTGTACAGCTGATACAATGTAAAAAGAAAGTGACATGACATTTTCTTCTAGTGAAGTGTGAGTATTCTACGTCCAAATGAGAGATTTACAAACCAACTCGACGGTTGGGAAACGCGTACAAACTTTACATGTATGAGTCGACTTGAATAAGGGTAAACCGTACTAATGTGTATCTCTATTTTAGATAACACATTTTTTGTATTTTTCTGTTAAATGTATATTCATATTTTTATCTTCCTTAAAACCTTAGATATTTTTATTTATCTTACATGGTTTTTTAATTATTATTGCCAAATGGAAATATATTGGAATAGCTTTACATTACAAAAAAGAATGATAAAAACATAATTATATTCCAATTATACATGATAAATACTTGTTTCTAGGCACATACGTCAAAATTCAATCTGTAAGAGATGAATATAAATTGTATGAAAGAAAAGAGAGAATTGAAGCTCATCGTCGAATGTTTATTTTTTATACAAATTCATATTTTTTTCCACTTGCTTTTGATTACAAACACAGAAAAAAATGTTAGAAACTGAAATGAACATAGACAGAAAACAGAAAAACATAAGCACATACGTACACAACCACACACACTCACACACACACGAAAAAAAAACGCATAAACTTAGTAACAGGAACAACCTTCTTGCTGTATCACATCATAATGTTTCACTAACACGATCAGCACATAGTTTTTCAATATCATCCAAACTGAGTTGATCAACAACATTTTTTAATTCCTACAAAAGTACAATGAATATCAGACACATTTTTTACAAATTTTTAGATTTACTAACAGTGTGAAATGCAGTTAATAATGCTTCGGTATCATGAGGATCCAACCATTTTGTTGCGACTGCTCGTAAATTATTCATTAATGGCGATTGCTCATTATGTTGACTATTGCCACTATTATTTTGCCTGTTGTTTATTTGATCTGTTGTTGTCGTTTGAGATGGAAGTGAATAATTTTTACTTACAATTAAATGTAATTTTGTACCTTCAATAACGTCATAGTCATGTAAAACAGAGCCGTCTAATAATGGTTTTCCTTTGAGTACTAATTTTTGTTGATTAACGGGTACATTCAATTGATAGGCAAGTCGTGATTTAATTTCTGAAACAGAATCCAATGGTGATACCTTAAATAAACGCAAAAAAAAAGGTACAGTTTTAATTTATGAAAAGATTGAAAACTTTATATACTTCAAGTTTTGTTTCTGTTCCTCCATTAAGAAGTTTTATATAAATAAACATGATGGTACGCTACTATATCTAAAAATAGAAGATAAAACATATTTAATTTGAAATCTAATTCAATAGTTATGTGTTTAAGAATAATAGTTAGGGCAAATTCTTGTATACACCGTGCTATTTTAAGAATATTTGTTCATCTCTGTTGCGCTGAACATCGACTAGATCGGACAAAAACCATGTTTTTCAAAAAGCGTTAGTAACCATTAACCGACGACTGGAATATATTAAGCATTTTGGTACCATCTCAAACGTGCAACGGTTAAATGATGCTCCAAGATCTTTTTTTCTCTGTTCTCACGTAATAATTCAACGGTGTGTATTAAATAGAATTTATAAGATAGACGAGAATTGCATGTATTTTATTTTGGACTAAAAAATGTATCTATAACATTATAAGGCCGAAAAAACAGCCTTCCGATAGCCACCCTGCGTTATTCTGCTCGATGTAACGAAAAGAAAGATTGTAATAGAAACATATGATATAAAAATAACAAATAAATTGTAAGAAAAAACAATGTTTTCAATACGTCAAAATGGAAAAGAAAATGCGGTTATAGTCAAAATAAATTGCAGGTCTAAGATAGAATAGACGAAGATAGAAGCATTAAAAAAAGAGAAAACTTATAAAGAATGTTGTAAACAAAGGAAGCACGAGAAAAAAATTATCGTGCAACATTAATTAGTCAAATCACATAAAGTAAAGAGTACAATTTGTTCGAACATAAAATTACACTTGTTTATGTTGTTGCGGCATTTTCTGTTGATAGTTGTTCATCAATTTGAGTTAATTGTACTGCTGCTGTATCACGTTTTTGTTGTCGTCGTTTAAGTAAAACACAATTACTGACGGGATTCAATTTCACTTCATCTTCATCAGCACGACGATTATATGCATTAGCAGCATGAATTTCAGCTTTTATCTCCGACCAATTTTGCATTTCTTCATTTAATACCTTAGGAACCTCTAATGGTGTTTCTGGCACGTGAGTTCCATATCGCTAGAAAGAAAACAAATAAAATACTCTCTTATTCTATATAAAATGTGGTCATGAAAACTTACCGATATCCATGAACTTTCCATTACTTTTTCTATAGTTGGCCTATTTTGTGGTTCAGTTGTTAACATGAGTGTGATTAAATCTTTTGCCTCTTTTGATACTTTTTCCCATTCTTGTTTAGGAAATTGATATTCACCTGCTCTTATTTTCGACTTCATACCAGCTGAAATAGCTTGACCATGAAGAGAATAGAATGGTGGATAACCTTAAAAAAGAGGAAATAAATTGGAGAATCAATAGAGAAGTTGAATAGTGATTTTACCACATAATAATATGTACATAATAACGCCTAAACTCCATATATCGCACGCCTAAAACAAAATGAAAACAAACAAAATCAACAGCAAGTTAGAAAAAATACGCTCCAGGCTTATGAACAAATAAAAAAGATAAAACAATTATTGTTCCATTCGAGATATAATTATACTTTGTCGTAACGTTCGTTTGACAACACTTCTGGAGCTACGTAATATGGTGTATAGCATGGTGTTGCCAACGGTTTTTTTTCGTCATTTCCTTGAATTAAGAAAAAATTAAATTAAAAAAACATAACAGTCTAGGAAACTCATTCTTGCCTTCTTTTGCAAACCCTAAAATTCATAAAAAACATTATACTATAACAAGTTTTCAAATCTTCAAAATAGCTCACCAAAATCAGTTAATTTCAATACGGCATCTTCATCCTTTGATGAGAATAGTAAATTTTCTGGTTTTAAATCACGATGTGCCTAGACAGTGGAGGATAGAATTGAAGAATTAATCCCTGTGCTAATATTTTTTTGAAACTTACAATATCCATATCGTGTAAAAATTGTACAGCAAAACAAATCGATTGCATAATACGAGCGGCTTCTCGTTCTGTAAATGGTTTATCATCTCGTTCTCTAATACGATTAAATAATTCTCCTCCATTCATACATTCCATGATGATCAACAAACATCGATTATTAGCGTACATATTTTCGTAAACGTCAAGCACTTTTACAATATTTTGACAAGTACCACTAGCTTTTTTATGCAATATAACTTCTCGTCGAGCTTTATTTGAATCTTTTAGAATCTATGAAGAAAAAGTCAATTATCACGGCCACTATATGATCATGTGCTCATACTTTTAATGCACATTTTTGTCCTGTTTGACGATTGAAGCATGTAAACACTTTTCCATTAATACCAACACCTTCAAAATAGAAGAACTAGTTTCTTCTCATGCTGTGCCTGATAGATGAACTTGCCTAATGCTTCTTTACTAACTTCATACTCGTCTGTGACAGCGTTTCTTTTTGTTGGAAATGGAAAATGACGTAACTGTTCACTGATGTTAGTCTGCCTAAAAATAGAAATAAGAGCACGGACCAATAAATCACTATTCTTTATTACTGCTGAAAATGATGTTTTGGGATTCTGGTTCTGTAAATAACTAGTGTGTCTGTGTGTTTCGTACGCTATACCTCATATATATAAAGTTAAGTCGCAAATAATTCCTATCGACTCATATTCTTTGCTATAAAATTAATTTTCAGATATAATGAAAACAAATAGTTGTCATAAACGTCAGGACGCCACCAGAATAGAACTGAGTCATAACAGGAAATTGTTCTCTCATCCATATGATATTCAGTGGTAATACACATGGATAGAAATATTTTGTAAAGAAATCAACAGAAATAATGTTATAGTATATAGTGTCTTAATAAAACAATTTAATTTTAACCTCCATATAGATCGAAGATCATGATATAACTAAATTAAAATCTCCCAATGGAAACTACAACTCTTCAATCGTTCGGAAAATTTATTATTTTTGTTTTCAGGTAGCTTTCAATATTCAGTGCAGTAGAGACCAGAGACGGATAAAACGCAGTTTTCGAACGTCTTGTCTCGTAATGTTTTCGTTTCGTATCGAAAAACATTTGAAAAAGATAACCATTTCATCTCGTGTAAAGGAACTTGCCATCATTCCATCTATGTGCGCTTATCACATCAAAAATACAAAAACTAAATGGAAAAAGAAATAAAAGTTTCTTCGCGCTTCTGTAATCAGTTTTTGAGATGTTCTTAGCTACAAACGGCGAGTCGAGAAAGGACGAATTTCGTCTAATCTCGTTTCACCAAATAATTCAAATTTATTTCAATTTGTCTCCTTTTGTGAAATTTCGTGAGACCAGATCGTCTGCCGAACTCTGCATCGAATATTTCGTCAACTACCTGATCTAGGCTAATATAAAAATACCCGATTTAATAAATTCCGCTGAAATGGCGTTTGCGCTAGCATTGTGAATGTGCCACGCGTATCTTTCGAAATTTGATCTGCATGATATTCCTCAGTAGTAGCTCAAATTTATGGCTCTCAGTGAATATTTAAGGTTAGGCAAAATTGTGATAGATTCTCAGCAGAAGTACGTGTAAACCAGCAAACCATAATAGAAAACCGATGAAACATTCTTACTTTTTTGATGTCGGCGTTTTAGCAGTCATTTTTGATAACCAATAATTTTCTTTTAAATCGACGAGTAATGTTGTGTTAATCAAAAAGAAAGTAGGAGAATACAACGCTTTTAAATTCAACAAAATTGTCGAAACGTTTGATTGAAAACAGTAATAATGAGTAAAATGGTACTATCAAGAGAAAAAATGCAAAAAACTTGAAGTTAGCTTCTACAGCATTAAAAAATTGAAAATTTTCGCGTTCGTACATGTTGTAACCATGAAAATTTACTGTACATTTAACGGTACTCAATTCAACCACGTAACATAATCAAACGCTGCTTAAAAATCTTGAGTTCACTCAGAAGCTCGTTTATTTACATGAAAGGACAAAAATTAGAGCGACAAATCATATGATATGGATAATCTGTTATAAATGATCTTGAACTTTTACAAGCTCTTGACTTGAAACTACGGCATGGCTGTTTAGTTCAAGATATCTATTTATTTTTTGTGTACGAAAGAAAGATTTTTGTTATTTGATACAAATAGCTACCAATCATATTACGCCTTTTCATACCATTTCTATCACAACCATATAGGATATCACATGAGTTGGATTTCATAGAGCATTTTCTTGCGTTTAATTTGCGCTCAGAACAGACCAATACTAGGCGAATATATAACAGTGACCCAAAATATGACACTAAATATAAACCGTAAGACCTATGTAGAAATTCGAAAAAAACTTGAATTACAATATCAATACTTATATTTGTCTCACAGTAAACTGTCTTTCTCATAGTTTTGACCTAATCGATCAAAAAACTATAGCGGTCCCATTGAACGTAGAACTATTATTAAAAGATGATATAAAAAGTAAGATTAACATATGTGATTAATAATTTGTTTGTCTGATGGCATTTTCTTTGCTTTCAGTGCAAACTGTCACCAAAAAATAAAAAAGGCTCTAACTTTAGCCTTTTTTTAGAATGATTCTGAGTTAAATGTGAATGAAAGAGGAAAAAAAATCAATGGCTGAACATTTCATATGATTATGAATCAACACGTCAAATCGTCCAAGATCGTCAAAAGAAAACGATCACCAACATCAAAAATTTACGTTGATGATTCAACCAATTAGAACAAACAAAAGGCAAAAAGATTAAATGTGAAAATAGATGTAAAGAAGCAGTTTCTACTTTATGTCGATGAAGTTTGGTATTGTCACAGCGACTATTATGAAGAAATAGCTGATGCTGAACGTTGTTCGAGATGGGTATACAATATTTGTCGTATTTAACTAGTTTTTTCAACCGACACAATCATTTGATTTTATAACTGTATTGATATGTATAAAAAAAATGAGTAAACAAGAATGAAAATAACAGTAAACAATCGTATGTATGTGAGAACACCCAGTAAAGGTTAAATAGATACTTATTCAGTAATAAAAAGTTGTTTTTCTTCTTTGTTTTCAAAAAACCGTTACACTCGATATACGTGAACAATCAGATTAAGTAACAACTGTCAATTTTTTCATATTTTGTTCATGTCTATACGCATTTTTAGTAAAAACATATAGTAACAAAAACTCTTTCAGTGATTCTCGTACGAGTTTCCTTCAGGCTTTGTATACTGTGTCAGAGCCATGAACAGTAGAGATCGTGAGAAACGCTGCTTAGTACTGATTTATATCAAGTGTTCTAGATATATAAATAATGGTTAACGTGTTCAAAACACTTCGTAACCATTGGAAAAAATCATTAGTTGCATTTTCTCTAGCATTATACGGTTCGAAATGGTCATATAATCGTTATAAAGCAAATGAAATACGTCACTTTTATTGTCAACAAGCACTACTACATGGAAAAGAAAAATTTAGTCCATTGGACCAACCGACACGTATCGCTGTTCTACTAAACGGAAAAGCAAATAATAACAAAGCGAAATCAATCTATGATAAAACAGTATTTCCCCTCTTGAATTTAGTTGGACTCGATGTTCGTGTTTATCGTTTGGATAATACAGACTCGATTACTAGTGAAGAATTATTGGGAACAAAGATTGAACCAGATAAAATAAAAGCATTGATAATCATTGGTGGTGATGGAACAGTAGCCTCATTAGCGCCACATATACTCGAGTCAAAGACATTGTCCAATTTACCTGTAAGTAAAGAATTCATCACTCAGTCTCTGTTAAAATATTATATATTATTTTTTTGTTCAGATATGTGTTATACCAATTGGAGAACATTCACGTTTTTTTCGATCTTTATTACCAGACTCATATTCAATAAAAGACAAGGTGAAATTACATGATGATATCACGTTGTTATGTGAATCAGTTTTAGCTTTGTTTAATGGAAAAATTGTACACCGACCATTGCTCAAAGTTACTCTATCAAATCAAACAGAACCAATGTAAGCATGTTATTTCTGAGAGTTGTTGGTTTAAACTTCGTTATTAATGAAAAGAGCATAAACAATCGAGGAAAAAACACTATCAGATTTCATCATCCAAGAAAATGTTAAATTATACATTCTATTAGAAAAAAGTTATAAAAACTGAAAACTATTGAAAATTTTATGTAAATTGAATAGCTATTAGACAGATTTCAAGACTTTATATGAACAAGTCGTAGTTTTGTGAGAGATCCTTACATGTCAAAAGAGCTTGATTCTCACTATTAAATTGTTTTTTAGCTATGCCAGTACATTGCAGTTTGGTTATTACTCTCAAATGAATCAATTACGTCAACGTCTATGGTATTTTAATATTTTGAAATACCCAATATCATCTTATTATGTTTATTTAACACGTTCAAAAACTCCTTTAACATTATCCGATAAAAAATCAGTTATTTATACCAAACCTTGTTCTGGTTGTTTACGTTGTCGTATTGTCGAACAACAAACAGCTCTACCAACAATAAAACCAACATTTTTTTCTCGTTTATATAAATCAAATCGACTTGCAACAACTCCTACAATTGAACACAATGTTAATAAGGAAATAAATCCAGATTGTGGTGTAGAATATTGTGTTGCTAATGAAAATCCAATTGAAATACAGGCAGTAACAACAACGATACCAAATGAAATTCAGCTGAATATAAGCGATAAAGTAAAATCGTATGTATACGACAATTCAGAAATTGAGAAACAATCAATAAGAGTAAATGATGTTACATTTTACCCAAATCCATCTTTATCAAATTCTATTATTATTGATAATGAAAAAATTTCGCTTGTATCCGAAGAGCCAGTGGAATGCAAAATACAATTAACTAATAAATCATTAAAACTTATACAAATGAATTCGGAACCATTAATCAAAAAACGTTCACATCCTCCAACAATGGAGGATCTTGACGAACAAGAACTGGCAAAAAAACATATATTGCCATTCTATACGATAAAGTCATTAATAACTTAAGCATTTTTTAGTACATATTTTTGTGATTAAACACACTTGTCTAGCTGTTTTTTATTACTTTGCAAGGATGATGTCTAGTTATGATCTCTTCTGAAGAAGAGAAATTGTGTACTTACTCATATATTCTCTAGCATCGTGGATGAATCTGTGTGTTTATTATTACATCCAGAATTGAACATTTTCTATGCTTTTTTTTCTTTAGATCAATTTTAGAAACACAGTTGAAGAATATCTTGAGAAAGTGTTTCAATTTTGTTATGTTGATACACTTGTTAAAATATTAAACTGAGCAAGAGAAGCCAAATAGAAAAATACCTCTTCAAATACGCTGATAATAAATGGATTCATGTTTAACCGATTTAACAGTTATTGTTCAAGGATTGGTAAAATGAATTCATAGAAGATGAACAATATTTTGAAAGGTTATTTAATAGGTTAGTGAATAAAATTGAACAATAGGAAGAGAGAAGCATACCTTACTTTTCGATTATCTCTATCGATGTAGGTACTGAGCCCGACATCTTACCTACAGTTGACAAACTTCTCTACTAGTTATCAATTGAAGCTCTGAGCAATAGACTACCTTGACTCACAGTTCTTTTCGCCCAACTGCTTGAGCTTTCCATACACACTCACTAACCACGTACTAGCTCCGATGACTAACTGAAGGAACTGTATCGTAGAGATGTGCAGGGCATCCTTACCCTACCATATCCTGTAAGGTAGGGTAGGGCCAGGGCTTCGTCTAAAAAAGACAGAGCGTCGGTACAACATTGAGGTCGGTCGCTAGCGATAGTTATTTTAAACTCTTTATTTTGTCGGATGCAAGACACTCATTTCCGGTGCAATTGACAATATAAAAAAAACAATTTTACAATTATTTTTTTATAATTATTTATAAAAAATAATTTTTTTTAACAATTTTAAAAGAGAATTTTTATCGATATGATTCATTTATTTAAAAAAATAAAGAAATAATTGTAAATGGAAAATTCTCAAATTTTCAAAGGGCAGGGTAGGGCCATGGCTACATTGCCACAGGGTAGGGTAGGGCCAGTGTTCAAAAACTTTTCACAGGGTAGGGCAAGGGCTCCGTAAACAGTTATCCTGCACATCTCTACTGTATTGTGCGTTAAAACGTAGTAAGTATCCTACGGGACGGTACTAAGTTATACTTATCCCTTCACTCCGAATGTCCACAGGCGTGGATATTAGTGAACATCGAAAAATCACTATAGCAAGGTGACAATGTGTTGTATCAAAAAACATATTTTTCTAACGTAAGTTGACACTTAGAGCCCAGCAGGTTAAACCTAACCTAACGGTTATGAAATTTTTTATAGGTTCGGTTATAGATTATTTTAAAATTAAAATAAGATGTTACTAGCCACTAAGAATTAATATTAAACAGTGATGACAGAAACGGTTCAAAATTTTCAAAATATTTTCAAGAATGAGTGGTGTAATTTATTTTATCACTTAAGTTATAGGTTGTCAAAAAGTCGTAACCTGATGACATGTGCAATCTACTGACACTGTAAGGTAGCAAAAGTTGATAAAAAAATTTTGTTTTATCAAGCCTAAACAAAGGTATAAGAATTTCAAGTTCAGTTTTCATGATCAGTTGCCAAGGGTAAAGGGTTAATTTGCAATTCGATATATGACTTGTCAACTAAAAGCAGCAACTATGAATAAGAATTTTAACATATTATGCTTAACATCGACGCTGTATGTTAATAAGACAAGGTGTCTTGCGAGAATAATGAGAATTAGTGAGCAAATCTATGTTCTAAAGAAGTGTAAAGTGGAAGACATTATATCCAAAGGTTTTAGAATTAATTAACATGAGCCATTTCTATATTCGGAATGTTAAGCATATGTAATTTTAATTTCTTTGTTTTAGATGTACTTCTTTTTTATATTTCTGATAGATGTTGACTAATTTGTATTATTGTTAAGTACCTTTCTTATTATTTTGCCACTGATAAAGGCTTTACCAAGCCGAAACGTTTGGCTAGTATTAAATTTATGATTAATATAAGTAATTAACCCTTAGTACTTGTCAACATTAAGGTTCGAACACTGCACGTTTTAAGTATATAACGAACAACGTAACCACCAAGTCATGCCGGTCATCTGACAATGGAAAACGACAACTTTTCTAAAAAATACACTAAATTATCATAAAATACACTTATTAATTTATCTAAACAAAAATCCGTTATCTTTGATCAATCCAAAACGTTCATCCAGTCTAACACAAAAGAATCTCGATTAATAAGAACTCAATAGAAAATATCCCTTTTCATTTTAAAACTAATCAATTTCAGTTTAAATACTTCTTGATACATAGTTAAAAAAAGTTACCTCTTTTCAAGGGTGCCATTTTCTCGATGTCACATGCAGGGTTCCCAGCGGAGGCGCCATAGTCAATGTGTTTTCCTGCTCCACTGAAGTTGATTATGGCGCTGCCGCAGCTGGAAATCCTGTGACATTTTCTGATAGAGTTATATCTTCTTTATTCTGTTTAATTGAGCGGTGAAAAATGTCCACATAAGAGATATCTCTTTATTTTTTAGATTCTTATTAAATTGTTTATTGCACATATAGATCTTTATACGTTCTATTTATTTCTAGATCGTGTCTAAAAAGCCAAATATTTTGAGAAAATAACTGAAATTCTATCTGTGAAATTCTACCGTCATTAAAATACGTACGTGAAGAGAAATGAGATATGAAGCAGCATTTTTAGAAGAGACTAATAATCGTTAATTAATATAAAAATGTTCATACACTCAAATTGATGGTGGCTTTTGATGTAAAAAGAGTTTGTTAAAAAAATATGTTTTAAATCACTGTCAAATTAATACATTGTCTTTTGTGTATATCGTTTTGTAAATAAAAGACGAGAGAATGGAATAATAAATTATTTTTTATTTTCTTACAAAATTAATCTCTAATCCAAAAGGACTTCTGAATGGAAGATGTATTTTTCTTGCATTGAAAATTATCGTTTACACTGTATCTGGCAAAGTTATTACCATAAGTGTTTCGAATATTAGTCTCTTGTGAATAAAAAAATATCTTGTACTTTTTAACCGTTGTTGTACTTAATCTTCTTCATGAGTTCTAAACATCTCTCTGCTTGAATAAGTTCTATTGTTTGGTAAAACAAATAGATGTATATATATATATAACTTCCTCAATTGCAATTCTACAACAAAGAACTTTAACGAACGATATGTTAGTCTTTCATTTTTGTTAAATCGTTTCATTATTGAACACTATAACTAAGCATAGACACGAAATTTCTTAGTATAGTTCAATCTTGTCATACAGCGCAGTACTACTAGCCATACTACTGCGTTTTTTTCGTTGTTATAATATGATGCTTGTCATAATAATGATAAACAAACAATAATATGTAGAATGTGCAGATCATTAAACTATACGTTCATTTTACATACTTCTATGTAATAGAATGCTTATCTCATATACGTAGAAATCAGTAATCATCAATACACAGATAATAGAAGAAAAAGATGCGGACAAACGGCTAGATGTAATAGTGAAGTAAATATCATTAATAGTCTAGAATAAAATTCTTTAGTTTGTATCTCATCTTACTACTTTTATATGTGTTGGGATTTTATATTCATCTAACAGACTTTGAGATAAAAGTAGATTTAAGAGGGTTATTTATTTTTAAAGGAGTTTATTGCATTGTCAATTATATCAACATTTTTTCGTCTTTTTTCTGTAGGAGAAAATGTCTAGAAAGAGAAAATGAGAAAAAGATTTTTTTCTATTGCTTTCTAAGGTAGATGTGTGATGTTTAATGAAGAATAAAAAAAAAGAAAACTTTTCTTTACTGCTTTTTAGCTAGGGCTATCTTGTCACTAATTACTTTATGTTATTTTATCAAATAAAAAGATTTTTTTTTACTTCTAACGAACTAAACATGAAGTATCAGTCTAAGTACTAAATACTATAATAATATATGTTATTCCTATTTCAGAATATGATGATTTTTAACTAAAACTAAAATGAGTTTGATTATTAGTCAATAATACATCGATAGAAGAATTAATGTTTTCAAAATTATCCGCTTGAGGACGTCTATAGTAGTATCTCGTATGTTTAATTACATAATTCTTCTTCTACTTTTGTTCTGTATACATTATTTATCTGCTTAAAGTAATCTATTCAACACAAGGCTTTCTCTCTCTCTCTCTCTCTCTCTCTCTCTCTCTCTCTCTCTCTCTTTCTCTCCCTGCCTCTTCTATGAACATCCAAATGAGCAATATTATATTTTTCACTCCTTATCAACGTCATCGTTAAGCCAACTGTGTGAAACTCGGAAGGCTTATTATTTTTTTATCATAGAAAATTCTTCTTTCTTCCAGATATTATTCTGTCTTGAATCACTCATTCATTTTTACTTATTTTTGATCGTAGAGATTCAAACAAAAAGATGTTTCAACTTTCCAAGTGTAATAGATGATACATTTTGTAAGTCATTTATATTCAATTCTTTAATCATATTAGACGATCATATAGTATCAATTGACACTATTGGTATTTTAGATAGATTTATAAATTTATCTAATCTTATTTCTAACATTAATTCATCATTTTAGTCTATATTTTTCAATCTTTTCAAAGAGTAGAAAGAAGAAGTCATAATAGTTAATTTTAAATAAGAAAGACGAAAATATAATTTCAAGTTATTTTTTTAATAATATTAGTTTAAACATCGAAAGTTTGATAGAATAAATAATTTTTTTTAAATAAAATCAAAACAATTATGTATTTTTTAGCAGTCTTATACATTCTTCTTTCTTATTCCCAAAGAGTAGTTGTCTTCTAGTCTCATCTTTGTTTTTCATACTTTGAGAGAGAAATATTTTGCATATAGTTAGTTAGATACATACTAGAACGATAGATATACGCTGCTACGCATTAGAATTACAACTTGACGAAGGAAAAAATGTGATTCTTTTTCTTCTTTTTTCACTTCTTGACAAAAAAAAAAGCTGCTCAGGTAAGGAAGTATTACCTTGAATATTACGTAATGAGAAACGATGAAAAAAAAAAAAAGAAAAAGAAGAAAATAACTACTATGAAATAAATAATGTTAGATGATTGAACATTCTTTTTTTCTTTTTTTTTTTTTTATAAATTTTTTATTATGGACAACAGAACAGATATTAACTAAAACAAAACAAAAATTGAGATAAAATATCTTTCATAGTTTCTATTTATCAACCTAAAAAAACGACAGATAAAACTATATATCAGGACGAACTGACTCGACAAGAATAAAACATGTTTAACAGATAAAAGTAACGTTTTGATTGTTTTTTATATCTTATTGTTTATTAATATTAACTAGACTCGTCACTAATTAAAATGATGATTATCCATAAAAGATAAATATAATTTCTACTAATACTTTGTTAATGAATGTTGCTTGTAAATGTTAGATTACATACTCATACACATTGTTATTACAATCAAAGTGATCGGACAAATTAGTCTATGAACAATATTGAGATAAATTTAGAGTAATAAATAGTTTTCATTGATAGTTAAATTTTATTTTAAATATTATAAATAATCTGTTTATTTTGTTTTTTTATACATTTACGATGGATAATATTATTATCATTTGTAATTATTTAATATTATTATTTTATTTATCTTTTTGAATAATCTTCTCTCATTTTTAAATAGAAAGATTTAATGATGATAAATTCATACTTTATCATGATTTAGTTGTATTATCTCATTTAAAAATAAATTCTGTTATTACTATCTCATAATTGTTTAACATAATCAATATTTAGATAGAATATCAGTTAAAACCTAACATGTTAAAATAATTAAACAATATATACTGATACATAATATAGATATATTAGCAAGAGATATTAGCGAATCAAATTAGTCAAATATATATATATATATATATATATACAATCTAAATTAACGTTTTTCTATCAAATAACAATACATTGTTCATTTATTTTATTCTAAAATTATTAACAAGTTAAAAATCTACTCGTCATAGATTGTTGTTTGGTACACATTAATCGAATTTTTTTGCACAAAAACAAAATAAAAGAAGAATAGACAAAATGACTGGCTAATCTCTTATTATATATATATATATATATATATATCAAATGGTCAATTTACAAAATTGACCCATATTATATAAATAAGTGAGTAATATAACGAAAACAAAGTACATAATTCCAATTTGATTTATAAATGGTTCATTTGATACACGATAAATAAGTAATATACAATAAAAGAACACAAATTTATAATGTTTATTTATCAGTAGATAATACTTATCATTAATCTATATCTAAAAAAAAAAATCATTTAAATATTTTTCTAATTTTTCTAATTCTTAATTAATTTTAATTAAATTAAATATACAATAATGAAATACTTGAAAATACATCTGTTTCTTTTATTCTTAAAAAAGACCTATTCTCTTTTTCTATATACTTATTATGAATTGAACAATATATTATATTCAGTATTTCAGGTATTTGAAAAGTCAAGTTTATTGATTCTCGATAATGTTTTTGTCGAAATAGGTTTAAGAATAATGTATTATAAAAATAATAAAGTTTTTTTGTCAATAGATGCGACAATCTGTTATTTTTTATATGATTTTTTTTTTCTTCTCCTTCTGTATATTATTTCTTTAGAAAAAAAGAATGTGTATCATTACCACATGCAAAATCTAGTTTATAGATATTTAAAAAATATTTGATCATAAACTTTGAAATAAAAAATATTTTCTTTTTTTTACAAAAAATACAAGATGTTCATCGTATTAATGTGAACTTATATGTTTGTGTATAATCTGCAGAGATGTTCATCTACACGCTGTAATGATGTAAGCTCTCTTCATTCTCATTCTGTAAACAAATAAAAAAGTAAAATAATGATCTCTAATTCTTATTTAGATTTATTTTTAGATATAAATATTCATTAGTTAAACTACGGGTTATCAACAAGTTTCTTTGTTTTGTTTTTTTATAAGAGTAATTGTAATAATGATTGTATCTCGATAAATTTTCGATACATAGAACGACAATATTTCAACACATAAAAAAACATGATCTATGAATAGTAAGTAAAATGAGCTTAGAAGAGACAAAATCTTAGAGTTTTTCTTCTCATCATATTCTATCAGTCGGTCATCGACTATTATTATTCCATTAAAATTACAACGATATTTACATGATTAAACGTTGAATTACAACCAATGACTAATGTCAGATGGAATAAAAAACCCGATAAAAAGTAATTTATTATTTCTTTTTTGATTTTATCTTGGTTTTTGTGAATAATTTTTGATTTTTTTAATTTTAGCAAACGTAAATAATCCACAACAGCAACAACAACAACAACAACGAAAATTACCATTTAATATAAACGAAATGGGCGATGTTTTATTAGAAGCAATGCAAGGTGTTTTATTATGTCTTGATAATAATCATATTATTGTTGATGTTTCAAAAACAGTTAAATATTATATGGGTTTTGATCAAGTGAGATAAATATACATATACTCATTATATTTTAATCATAATTCATTGTTTTTTAGACTGATATTATTGGACTATCGATATTGTTATTAATTGAAGATTCCGAGAAAGATACATTTTTCAAGTTTTTAACAAATACTCATCAACGTAAGCAGTTTTTAATTGCAATGATTCAAGTTAAAAAATTAAGTTTTATTTGACAAAAAAGTTTTCTTTTATTAACAAACAATTCAATATCAAGTCGTTGTCAGATAGTTACTTGTGAATTTTAAATTTATTAGTTAGTATAAGCACTAAGATATATGAATAAAAATGAGAGTACCGATTACTCAATATAGTCTAATTCTAACGGAATTTAAAATGATTCGATAGTATCTATCGAATATTAGCAATATATATCATTGAAAATTAAATGTAAATTCATGTATTTAAATAGAAAGAATATAGAAGAAGAGAATATTATCTTTATTCGTTAATTATAATTTTAGAAATTGATTTATGTAATGTTCGAATGATGTATGGTTTAACGGGCGAATATCGTTATGTTAAAGTTCATCGAAAAAAAAAAGCAAGTGTCCAAGATGATACTGGTATAGAGAAAACTTTATATTTTCTATTTGTTTTCTTTTTTATCTGCTTCTTTTATTTTTCTCTTATTTATGAAGGATCATGCGATCTTCCTCATTCATCAACAGGCTCAACCACCATTTGTACAATATTAGTATTGACTCAAAATGACGCATCTTACATTGACATTAATCTATTTGATATAAATAAACATGAATTTTATACAAAAATGAATTTAATGGGCGAAATAACATTGGAAGATCATAGGTATGTATTTATAAAAAAATAATTCTGTATATGATACTCTTTTAAGAAACATTTTTATATTTTTAGAGGAACATTAGTAACCGGATATCTTCCAAATGAAATAATTACTCAATCTATTTTTAATTTTGTTCATCAAGATGATTTACTTGTTAAATTACATGCACTATGGAAATGTTTGTTAAATTTTTTTATTTTAAACATCATATATCGATATTATTTCATTTCTTATTCAGGTTTTACAACTGGACAAAGTAAAGTACAATGGCGTCTAAAAACAAGAGATGGAAATATTGTCTATTTACAAACAGAATATATACTTGTATCGGGACATAATGAATCATCAGATATAATTGTAGCAAGAAATGAAGTTTTAAGGTATAGTAAATTATAATAAATTATTTTTATATTTATGTTATCATATCGACTTTTTTTTTTTATAGTTCAATTGAACGTACAAAATTTCTTGAAACTCAAAAAAATGTGAAATTACAATGTGCAGAAGAAATGAAAGGTCATAGTTCATTTTTTAAGAAAAGTAAGTTAAAATCTATGATTCTTTAATAAAATTAAAAACAATAATATCACTTTCTTTTGCAGTTTCAAATGATCAACAACAATATAATAAAAATGAGATTACAGATTATAATGAACAACAATTTTATAAATTATCGATACCGTCTATAAATATGTCTCTCACAACGACAAAAAATAAATTAAATCCTATACATGTAAAAGGAAATATATTTCATCAGAATAAGACTGCTCGATCATTAAATATTCAAGATTATATTGATATACTAATTGATGATGAAAAATGGATTGATAGTGAATTACATAGTATGATTAATGATATACAATCGTTAACAGCTAAATATCATCGAACACAACAACAACCGCCACAAACTCATATATTAGAAAAATCGCAATCATTGAGTGATATATCTGGTATCAATTACTTATTCTTCTATCTTGTTTATAGCTTTTATGCGTAGTCATTTTTAGATGCTGGTGAAAAATCTCCGTCAATTAATATTAATATTGGTAGTGGTACTTCTGAAACATTATCACAATTAATTTATTCGAAAAAGAACAATACAAACAATAATACTGGTAATCTATGTCCAATAATTGAAGAGACTAATTTTTCTTCATCATCCTTACCAGAAGACAATCGAAAAAAACGTGATTCTGATTCGATTGTACGTGGAATTCTGAGTAATTCATTGAATTATAATCCAGATAGTAAACAATCAGGTAAGAATAAAAGATGAATATCGTCTCTTAAATATGATCATAATTTCAATATCTGTATAGATTCATCAACATTATCCACCTTGCTCAATGATACTAATCCTCCTCCTCCTCCTCCTCCTCCTCTTTCATCCGCACAAATAGATGATAATAGTTCATCTCCAGTTCAACAGATTCCATTTAGTATACGAGTAAAAATAATATTTAACAGTTAAGTGTTTTAATTTATATGTTAAACTTTTTTTTGTGTTGTATACAGACGGTACCACTATCAAATGATCAACAACACAATGATGTCATGAAACAACATAATGAATTTTTAAAAAAATATCGTGCAGCTAAAACAAAATTAGAACATCAATTACAATCAGTTATTTCACAAGAAAAAGATCCATTGAGTAGTGGATTAATAACGGAGTTATCAAAAATAAAGGTAGCTTTTTCCACTTTTTTCAGTCACAACTGCATTTGATTATTAATAAATTTTGTTTTACAACCGTTTTTTCGTTACAGAAAAAGCGATTGTAAAACAAAATTTATTTAGTTCAAACAAGTCGAGTTTAAAATAGCAAAATCATTTGATAATTTTTGTCTTCTAGGCCACAACACTCAATAAACTTTCTCAACTCGAACAGATTAAAGCAAAACATTTAGCAAAAACGTTTGATACACATCGTCACACTACAGAATATAATAATAACAATAATAACAATAATAATAATAATAATAATAATAATAATAATCAAGGTATTTTAAATACGACATTTTTGTCTTCGATAGATGACACAACACAGTTCGATCCATCTAATAATCCGTATCCAAATTACCAACAGCAACCACACAATTTTATGTTAGGATCTCAACAACAAATGTCGTTCGACTATACTCATCAGCAACAGCATCCAATGTATTCAAATCAACAAGCACCACCCTTTCAATCATTTCAGTCACCATTTCGTTTTCAGAATGCTTTCAATGTAGGACAAACGAATTACAATTCAATGAGACCTAACTCAACAACAGCAAAAACATTTCATGAGTCAGATTCATTTTTTCCACCACCTTCCTCATCCATTCAGCCACCTTCTTCTTCTTCTACTCAAATTATTCAACAACAACATGTGTCCAGTGATCATTCAACATCATCGTTCAATATTCAATCGTACATGAATGTTCAACTATTTGGACATCCTCAAACAGATTTGACTCAAACAACTTACAATCAAAATGATAATAATTCGTACCCATATTAAACAACATCAATTGTATTTGGTATGAATTTATCCGAGAATGAAACAGGTTATTAAAACAGAAGTGGATTCAGAATTCCTTTTAGGATGAGTGAGGATGTTAAAAGGATGTAATATGCTGGGAAAAAACGACAAGTTTCTTTGTCAAGAGGCCATTTTTAGAAATCATCAATAGCTCAACTAATCACCCGTTCGCTAATCTGTGTAAAAAAATAGTCAATATTTCATTCCTTCAGCTACTATATTTTATTGTAAATAGAGATCAACATTTTTTTTTTAAATTTCTCTTTGCTCAAACTCTTGATCTTATTTTTTGGATATAAATAGTGTATCCCGACTTTTCTTTTGTACATGATTGTTTTTAGTTTAGCAGTCGTATATATTTTGTCCATTTTTTAGTAAGTGCTGTCTTCGAAAAAACGTCCAGTACACCACTCTCATTTTGTTTTTGTTCATACACTCTTGAAGGTGTAATGTTGTTGTTGTACTTTTAAAGATTTTTCGTGTTGCTGTGGCCTTACTTTACTATTCATACTTATATATTTACGTTTGCTGTTGTTTTCTGTTTTTTAATATTTTGTTGCAATATTTTGTTGAACAGTTTTTGTTTTTTATATGTTGCTGTATGTGAACAGTGATGATGCGTGTGGGGACAGTGAAAATAAAGAAAACATAGTCGTTTAAAACTAAGATTTTCAGTGGCTTTCACGTGAACCATTTTATTACTGATTGATAATCAGTGCCACAAATATGGAGAGGATGTTTCAGCCTGGAACGTGCAGGATGTATTCATCTTGAATAATTGAAAATTTTTGTTGTTTTCCATGGAAACTATTTAAAATTTTTTTTCTAGTACCTCTATGAATTCGATTCGCACTACCTCAGAGACACATGCAGTTCCACCTTTCCCCCAATGTTTGACTCGTATTTGTCTTATGAGGTGTGACAATTACTTTTGTTGAAGACTTTTTTCTTAACATAAGGCCTATAGACCTAATCTGCACGACACGAGTTAACTCGCTAAGTTAAGAAATTTGCTTGATGTTGCTTCTTAACAACTCCAATCAGATTCCTTGGCTCTGCGTTAACGCTCATAGTGCTACTGTAAATTGTGACAGTCGCTGCAAATCACTATAGCAACTGACGCAAGAACGTCAGTCACCTTTCGCACTGGCAGCGACTGAGCATATTTCTCATTCGGAAAAGCGACTGTTAAGTAGTTCTTCTTACTTATCTGTTGAGATGAGACTGATCTTCGAAATATAGAAAAACAAACTACTTTTCGTTCTAGAAGTCAGCTCAGACTTCAGGATAATAAGTCTCATCATTTTAATTTTAAGATTTCCATTGTTTTGAAAATAAGTTGCAGCGCTAGTAGTTCGGCTCCACATGTTAGGCCTGCAAACAATATGAAGAACGCTCCAGAATTAAAGTAAAATAGTTTTACAGCTTTCTGACATAAAAAAGTGTCTGATAAACATTTAGTTGCAAAAGGTGACCAGTACGCGTGCCAGACACGTTTTCGACTGAAAGCTGTCTGACACATGGTTGACTGCTTCATCGGGTCAGGCGCTTTTCTGACTACCATTTAATGGTCCGTCAATAAGTCGCTATGACGACTGTCACAATTTACAGTGAATGCCGTAATATTCTCAATATATATCTTTTTCTCAATAATAATACTGGAAAAATCGAAATAGATAACCAACAGTAAGTGGCGCCCTCAGTATATGACATAACCTTCACACTGCCTCTTACTTTCATTGCACGACAGTCTTCTTTTTCTGAATGAAACACTACACCATGAACCAGATATATGTGTAATGCATAAGTGTTTCACAGTTTGTTTCCCTATATGCTAGCAGGTATTAATTACTTATCAATAAGAAATTCAAGCTACCAAAGAGTTTTTAAACTTCACATTTTTCGAATTTGTTTTGAATTGAAGATATAAACGATTTTTACATACCAGTACAAACATAATAAAACAGAATACACAAATAATGCACTTTGCTGCCATGTTGAGGCAACAATGAATATTGAATTGTCTAATGGTGACTTAAAAATTTGTTATAGACTAGCGAAATTATTACGTCAAGAACTAACTGAAGAGTTTCTTAAATTATACGATAGTTTTCCAGAATGGAATGGAATTAAGGTAATAGTTCAAAGACTATTTGTTTTTTTATTCTTCCGCTGCTTATCTATCTCGTTTTTTGTGAGTTTTTGCTTACTACTCGTTATTCATGCTGATTATTGCACAGACTTGTCTATTTCTTTATATTTCTTTAGCTTGCCAACGTTAAAGAGCAAATTCGTCAATTACAAGAATTATCTGACGTTGAATTTGATAAGTATAACGTTGAACTTGAAACAAACAACAACTTGCTTGACGAAATTGGCAACATTATTGAAGTATCCAAATCAATGGATTTTAATAATGAAACCAATGGAAGTCATCGCAGCAACATCAATAAAGCTACTTTAATTGAAAATGATCTTTATCAAGAGCAACAGCAACAAACAAGAGCATCAAAATCTTATGAACCAACAAACGTATCCCGCATTATATCACCACGAATAGAAAAGAAAAAACAAGAATATGAAACTACAGTAGCGAATAATTTAGCTTATGATGAATCTTTTCCAATCGGATCAAAAAATATTTCACAGTCATCAATTCAAAGAAATAATACATTAAAGTAAGTATTCTTTACCGTTAAACTGGGATAACGAGAGTAAAAGCAAACCCTTAGCAACCGTCACGAGTTAGACGATGTCACATTTCGAAAAATAATATTCATCAACTAGACAGATGAATCAAAAAATTAAGACTAATCGCGCTGCGCAACTAGATCTTTTGCTTTATCATTTTACGCTTTATTTCCTTATTCTGCTTTTTTTAAGAACAAATCCGTTTGGTTTTAATACTTTACCATCGAAAAATGTTTATTTGAATTTAACGGATCCACCTGAAATGTTTACTCGACTTACGCCAACATTACAACAATATCAATATGATAAAAAGAAAAATTTCAGAGATGAAACTGTACGTGTAGAAAAGCTTGATGATGATGATACAAATAATTATCCATATGGTGCAACGAAAAAACATACACCTGGTTGTACGACCAATTTGATGCAAAAAAATTATTATAAAATGACTACGGATGTCGATAAAACTGTCCAATTGTTCGAATCAAGAGAAGAACAATCAAAGAAAAATCTTTACGATGAAAATGCAACAACAGAACAATTAACTATCGATCTAGAACAATATAGAGAGGTAATTGTGTGGTTGTACAGGAGCGAAAAAGTTTGCGCTTCCGGTGTAAAATTTGATTAGTCATGGGTAATTTCATTTATATATTTTACTTAAAGAGCTGTTTAATTTTTGTTTTTGTCTCATCTTGACGGACACTATCTATCTGGATCCTCATACTTAATTTTCGTCATTTGACAAACTATTACTGTAGGAAGTCATAAAATGATGATTTCTACATGCTGTATGGGAAAAAACAAAAACATTGTTATGTATGTCTAGAAACTTTTTAGTTTAGGTTATCATGAGGTGTCGCCGAATGCTACAAGTCTTTTTGATGCTTTTCGTGATATCTTACCTTTGTGTGAATAAATCTATCTATCTATCGTATATGAGTTAAACAAATTAGCACTTGTGAATGAATAGAAAATAATGAATTTTGATTTTTATCGTGCATGCGCTTTCAAAGTCAAGGTAGTCTTTAGATATCAACACCACCGTCGTGCATATGTAATCGTGTTTTTTCTTCTTCACCTCTATTTACGTGTTCGTAAAAACACTGAGGCATTGTTCCACAGCGTGTTTTTTCTCTTTTCCACTAGTGATGCATCATTCCTTTTTAGTAAGAGAAATCGACAACTTTTCAATTATTATTTTCTGACCACTATTTTAGTTTTAATTAGAATGAAAACAAATATGTTTAAAGAAGGTGCATAAATATTTAAACATCTATCGATCTAATCATAATAAAATACGAGATATGATCATAACATAATTTTTTGGGTAGCCACTGCTAATACTCTCCGTTGGTGGATTATTGTTACTGCTATATCTAGCTCTATCGTCTCATATAAAAGAGATTCTCATTGACATATTGGCAGTTAATTAATTTGATGTGGTTTATACCAAATTTGTGCCTTTCGACGATAAGTTTGTTCTTTTTCTTTTTTCTCTTTCTCGCTACACGTGTGCTGTATGCAAAAAAAGAGTAAAAGAAGAGTCACAGAGAGACGCTTCATTTATCGCGGATATCTCTGGTTATTTTTTCTTTTTTTGTTTTGCTTTTGTGTTTTGTTTGAAGAAGAAAGGAAAGAAAACCTAAAACGACCGATGTGTGTCCCACGTATAATTTATACACACATCTATATACAGAGGCATATCACTCAATTACATTAAAAATACTAAAGAAAGTAGAGTACATACACTTATAATATAGGTGAGACTTTCTTTGCAACCGAAAAAGAAATGAAATCAAAATTTGTGTTCACTAGGAGTTCTATGGTATTTTTTTGTTCGATTTATGTATAATATATAACAAAGCGTCTTTCACTTGTTTCTTCTAGACGATTTCATCTATATCATCGTTTAAAACACAAGTGCCACCGTTGTGTTCACTAGGTGATACCATTGAACTCGTTCAACAACGACCAACAAATCGTTCAACAACATTGTCTGATAAAATTGCAAAAAATAGTTCAATGAAAAATAATCGAAGTAGTAGTACTAATAATTCGTCATCATCAACAATAACATCGCTTAACCATGCACCTGAGTGCACAACGCTCTATTTTCCGCCATCATCAAGCACGATTGATAAACAGCAAGAATATTCCTCTTCTGCTTCATCATCACCACATGAATCAACATCAAGTGGTGACAGTGATGACCAGGACGAGGAAGATAGAAATGAAAATATAAAATTAGAAAAATACCCGAATATTGCTTATCAACGATTGGGTGATGATGATGAAATCGACGAACACGAACAGCCATCACCATTAAAAAACGAAAACTGTTCACATTTACAATTAAATAATTCAACAGCAATAATAAAGGCTAAAGTCGAAGATAATTCATACAAAACAGTTTTAACTCATCGTACAAATTTATCCCCATCACATGATATTGTACGACAGCATGCAAAACCAATTTCAACAACAAGTGGTTATAATTCACACGGCTCATCGACGACAAAATCATCAGATAATAGTGGTAGCACACGAACAGAATCAGACATTGATGAAATTCCTAGTGACGATGAACATCGTAGTACCACTATTTACACGCAGAGGCATAATCGAGCACACGAAATATCGACAGTTGTCTCAAATGCGCCTCTAAGCCATATACTGAATAGAAAAACAACTACATCTCCGCCTGTTCTTAATAAATCATCGACTGATTCTAAAGGCATAACAATTACATCACCATTAGTCTCTTCATCGGTAAGGACGGTGTCTTAATGTTCATTTTCGTTTTCTTCTTCCCATGATGTTATACACATACTGATAGAATACAACATCTCATAATTTAACTGCCATTTTGTTTTCATCCTTTTCTAGTATCAAGATGCGAAAAATAAGAACACATTCCGATGTGTTGACCGTGATCGACGTACACCAGGTAAATAAACTAGATAAAGACTTGCGGTTTTTATCGTCTTAGATAGAAAACTTTTCTTTACCGATCCATATATGGGGACACCTTGCAGTCGAGGTGGTGTACCTTGCGGGTGAAAATATATATGATGTCACATGGTAATGTTTCTTTCAGAAGAGAATTCAAGAACGTAGTGAAAACCATACGAGGGGGAATAATTCATTTCTAACTATTTAGACCGAAAGCTGGAAAATTCGTAACTCAGCTAAAATCAGTCCATACTACGCCAAAGCTTCGACATATACTCCATTTTGTCTGCTGTATATACTGAATTTCAACAAAAGTCGTAGAAATCATTAGACAGTGCTTGGTTTTTGAGATGGTTTTCTAGAAACCTTTGGAAGTAAGAAAATGTGTCTTTCGGATCTCAATCACCAGATCAGATTCAGCAGACAAAATCGAGTGTATGTTGAAGCTTTGGCGTAGTTTGGATTAATTTTGGCTGAGTTATGAATTTTTTAGTTTCGGCAAAATTAGCCAGAAATGGATTATTTCACCTTGTATGGTTTTCGCTACGGTCTTGAATTTGCTTCCGAAAACAAACAATATCATGGATCAGCGTTGTCATTAACCTATGTTTCAAGTCACTTTAAGCGTATTAATCTTAAAGTTGAGTTGATAGGTGTGTCCCAGCAAAATTGCTACAACCCCGAAACAACGATAGCTGGCAGCCTCGGACTTGTGCAGTTTTGTAGAGGACACTCTGGGTTATTTTTTCCATAAATGGTATCCCCATATATGGGTCGGTAGAGTAAAGTTTTCTGTCCAATACAATAAAAATCGCAAGTCTCTTGCTAGTTTCGCTCTTGAGTTATTCAAAAAATAACCAAGAGTACTGCTTTTTTTATAATAGTTTGTATATTTGTACTGTATGTTTTTCAGGAGATGACAATAATTATAGTGTTACAGACAATCCTCAAATTAATGATAATGATGACAAAAAGCCAAATCATTTTCTTGTACCACGCTTCAAAGGTACGTGTAGTTAATTCTTTATCTGGTATTTTTATAAAGAAAAGTTGACCATCCTGGTATCATTATACCAAAAACAGTGATTAAGTATGAAAAGTTTGGGATGAAAGATAACTTATCTTAAAAGTTTTGGGAACGTACATAGTCGATTGAATTTGAAATTTTCCCAGAAAAATGTTTCAAGAAATTTTGCTCGCTTCATGCTTGGTGTAGTGTTTTTTTAGAAATTCTGCTGGAGTTTACTCAATGCATAAACACCCCGGTTGGATCGCTACCACAGCTGGACATCCTTTAGCCATTATGTGTCTGTTAAACACTCACTCTTGTGTACATTTCACTAAACATGCATTAGGCTTACCAAATTCTAACCCAAATCGCACTAGTTTTTTATCTGGAGGTTGAGTCTCGAGCTAATGCATGCCTATTTTTTATGTCTCTTTTAATCTGTTAAAAAGATCATCAGTAGTATCATGTAAGGTAATACAGGTTGGTAGGTCAGCAATAAAATTCTTTCATTTATCTTTTAAAGTTATTTTGTTTAAGCTTCAAATTTTCTTATATTCTTCTTTAAACTCAATGGCCATGCTTGATTTCTTGATATTTTCACATGTACGAACAGTTTTGACCATAGCTGCCACCTTGTCCGGATTTTCCGACAAATTCCGGTTTTGGGAGTTTTTTTCAGCATTTGCCCGGTGTCCGGGATTTGTCGGATTTTGAGAAATTTTTCGCTTTTGGCTGGTTTTCCCTGATCATGAAGATTTTTAAGTGTTTTTATCTATAGTTTGTGAAGGTTGTCTTTCTCATATTATAGGCCAGCTAAAATGCCAGTTACTTTTCGGATCAAAAATATACATTCAAAAACAGCGTGTTGATTAAAATCGAAATTTATATTTATGTTTGTTATTTTCTTGTATTTTATCTAGTAAAATCATCTAGAGCTAGAAAAGAAAGGTTTTTTGGTACTGCACAGTAGAAAAAAGTTCAGTAAGGCAGTGGAAATGGGTTTCCATTTTTTTTTCGAATTTTGAAAAAAAATCCCGGAGCTTTGCAGATTTTAGGACTATGATGTCGTATTTCTGACTTATACAGGTGGTCGCTCTAGTTTGGACACTCGTAAGAATTAAAATTACGAAAATCAGTCTATATTGGAACTAGTCTTATGTTCTTTTTGATATAAGGCGAACTTTTCTTTTTAATTTCTACCCCTATATATGATATCTATATATATACATTTGTCTTTGTAATGATTGATGAGATAGAGCACGTACACATCCTTAATTTTATGCCTATGTGTATATAATTTACACTTGAAGTTAGATAAACGTATGAGTGCATTTACAAAAATAAAGAATATGATATTCAGATGTCAACTTAGAAAAGAAAAATTGCTATTTTTTTGTCAAAATTAAAAAGAAAAAAACAATTAAAGTTTCGATTACGCAAGATTATATGTATATATATGTAAACACGTGTTTTTAACCTGTTTTCACTGGACGTATGTGAGTCACTTTTCAACTGCGTACTGAACATGGTGAATTAATAATAGAAAAAAAAGAAAGAAAAGAAGAAAAAACCATGCATTGTGACACACACAGAATTTAAAATAACATGGTTTCTTTTCCCGTTGGTTTAATTTGTTACCGTATTATTTGTTATTTCATTAATTATGATGTGTATATTTCAATTGTTTTATAAAAATAGAATATGCAAGATTTTACGATGATGTGTCTCTATTGCAGACTTTCAGAAAGCTCATTCTTTATTCCATATAGAGGTGGGTTTCATAGCCGATTACCCTTTTTGAAGTTAAGTTAAGTACAAATTCATTATTCATTTTAGCTGATCAAAACAAGAAGATAAACGTTCTCTTATTTATATAGCCCGTTTATTGTTGTATATTTTTTAGACACAACGGCAAAATCACTTGATTATGCTCAGAATTGTTCACTACAAAATCCTGGCTGGCCTTCATTGGATTCAGGATTTGTTCCACAGCATGTTATTACCACAACTGCACCATCAACTTCATTATATTCGTCTTCCACTTCAACAAACAGTGGTAATACATCTACTTCAACATCGTCTAGTCAGAGGTAATCAATTCGTTTTACTCTACATCACTTGGACTTTTACTAATCCAGAGTTTACTTATCTTTCTTTCTCTAGAAATTTATCCGATAGTAATCAAATTTCATCTCGAAATCCTATATCAAATCGTACTTCGACCTTAAAAAAACGTAAACAGGTCTGATATATAATATTCAACTAGGTTTTGTGTTTATTTGGTACCATGTTTTTTAGAATCAACATGAAGAACCAATTCGAGCTGAGTTTATTCCTGGTCATCGCGGTGATCAAGAAATAGATAAATTACTAATGTTTATTGATGGTGATAATATTAATCGTGATTCAACATCTGGACAAAAAAAAGACAATCAGCGTAATCGTCGAAATACTACGAACACAAACCCAAATAATAATAATAGTAACAATAATAACAATAATAATAATAATAATACATCTCGTTCGAATACTACTACTACCACGGCGACAACAACTAGTCGTAACGTTTCATCGTTCGAATCTACTTTGCCTTTATCTAATTCGAATCGTGGATCACAATCAAAACGGAAAACTCGAAAACCAGTTAAAATTGCTAATAATAATTATGATCAAGCACAATCGATCGTTGAAAATAATTCAACAGAAAAACATTTAGTCGATGAATCTTCAATCGGTTATATCGGTGAAGATGAAGAAACGACGAATACTTCATCGAAATCAAACGAACAATCACATTCCAAAGACAATAATTCTATTGATGATAATAATAATGACGGTAACTCAATAAATAATATAGAACAAGAAAATGATAATTCAACAGTGCCTTCACATGAAGAACAAACAAATACTACAAATAATGTGGCGAATGATTTCACTGAAGTAAGCTTAGTTTTCATTGTTCTTTAAGAACATAGCTAATCAAACGTAATGTGCGGTAATATTGTTCAAATAAGAAGAATATAACTTCAACAGTTTGATAGTTATTTCTCTACTATTGATAAGTACTCTGAGATGTCATTTTTCACGATGGTGTTATTCCTGTATCTGTTCAGATCTATTATATAATCAAGTTTGGTGTTTTATGTAGACTTTATAATATGTATATGTAGATTCGCTTGTAGCAGATGTCTGGAAGATAGAAATAAGTGCTATTTTAACTCTTTTTATTTGTTTATAGGCGAGAATTGAACAAAATATTATTGATTCACAAGCACTAACTATTCCAGAAGAAACAACAACATCAGATCAATATTCATCACCAATTTCAAATTTATTATTTTCATTTGGACGTTCAAACGAAAACGAACCATTTGTTACTGTGACACATCGCCGGCGAACAACAAAAGATCGTCGAACAGTCAATTCAAATGAGAACAATGATAGTAATTTTAGTCAAACTATCCCACAAACACCATCTTCAACTCGTTTACCACGTTATCCATTGATAAATTCTTCTGTTGAAAAAAAACGTACTAATCCTAACATGAGAATAAAGAACGCACCATCGAAATATCAAAAACAACAACAGCAACAGCAGTCGATCAGTAAAAATATTATCGAAGATAAACAATCGACTGAATTGAAACAAAATAAAAATGAGCAACCACAAGCATTGACACCCTCAAAGCTAATACTATCTTTACCGACTCTTCTTCCACCAACTTCAACACACTCACAGTCACCAACCAATGCCACTGATACAAATAATGAAACGAGTACTTCTATATCTTATGTACGTTTGTCATCCCAATCTTCTTCGTCAGCTTCATCATTATCATCAATGAAAAAACCACCGAAATTAGTAGAGAATAGCTTGACAAAACCGCCGCCACCCGTCGTTTTTTTAAACAGCTCTGGTCAACAAATTTTAGATGATATCGCATTGTCAACAGACTTGAATGGTTTAACATTCGGTTTTCATGAGGATGCACCTTGTCTTGATGATGATACATCAGTCGAATCAGCGAATCAATTCAGTACGGATGAAGTACAGGTAAGCAAATAACAGAACACACTTTTCTCTGTAACTGAGGCTCTTGCTCCTTATACCACATATCAGAGAATTGGAAAAACTTCTCTCGAATTGACTAAATTTATTCATGAGTTCCAGCTGGCTGATGTTGTTTTTTTTATGACAATCAGAGATTTGCGAAAGCTAACTATATTTCGAGAAAAAGTCTGGTTTTTCCTAAGTGCAATTTTAAAAGGAGAATGATCTTTCTCACTTGCGTTTTCGTTTCCTCTTTGTAGAACCTTTCAAACAAGACCTCTCAAAACGTTATCGATAATCAACAAGAAGATACTAATCGTCAATATTCTTCTCATTCCGTTCATACCTCACAAGAAAATCTCTCTGCTGATCCTCAACAACAACCGATTGAGAACGAATCTAATACTACTGCTTCTTCCATTATCAATGTTGAAGAACAACAACTAGTATCACCGTTGCCCTCGATAGCTGATTTGGAAGATTCGCTAAGTATTAAATCATTATCATCATCATCAAATTCTGCAACAAGAATAAATCATCAATATAATCATTTTTCAAATAATCAAAGAGCGTATCGAAATGCTACCGGACATATAAATACTCGTTACCGCTATAATAATGCGAACAATAATAAAGCCCAGTTTTATACCGGAATGGATATTCATCAAATGCGAGCTATGCCATTAACCGCCACAAATGATATGAATGCAACATATCATTATGAAAATACGAATAATTCAATGTCTCCATTTCGGCATAATCGACGACAAAGTCATCCACAACGTCATCAGTCCGATCAATTTCAAGAACAGCGTTTCTTGCAACAATTAGCTGTTCAAAATGCTGCTTATTTACAGGCATTACGGTTAGCTGCAGCCGCTCAGCAGCAGCAATCGGCTCAGATTCATTTTAATGACTATGCACAAACTGCACAACCTCATTACGTACTAGTTCCATATGAGAAACAGGCGTATCAACTACGATCACAGGTATATTCGGATCCATCGATATTAAATTATGAAAGTCAGAATGAAGATGGTAATATTGATGAAAAAACAGTAAAAGATAACGAAAGTATCGAAGGAGATGAGGGAATGATACAACAAACGTTGACAAATAGTACAACATTAGATCAGCCTTTATTAGTTTACACAGCGATACCGGTTACGCCGAATGCGTGTACTACAAACGGACCTTTGTATCCAATTCAAATACCAGTTTTCCCAACAGTGAAGGATGTAAAAGCAACAGCATCACTATCGTCACTTTCATCGTCATCTTCGTCAGCTAATGGCGGTGTGGGTCAAGTGCCGGATGGCTCTGAACAGCAAATGTTTACTTTATATCACCCAGTGTCAGCGAGCACAGCTCATTTATTTCCTACATCCATTCAAAATGTCTATCAATCTTACGGTCACGCTTATCATCCCGTACAAGTACCTCCACCGCCATCGCTTCATCCTGTCGTTGTTTCCCAACCATCATCGACACCTCCTGCTGTTTCAACAACCGAGTCGTTAATTGTGCCTATGGAAGTGAGACAATTAAGTAATGCACCAATTGATATTCACGTTGTGACACAGTTGATAAATACGAAAAAATTAATTGAAAATAACACGAACGATGATGATTCGTCTCTGTCCGAATTACAACGACAAGGAGAAACCGATTATGATATTGATGTTGATGATAATAGAACGCTACAACAACAACAACAACAAAATAATTCTATAGGTGAATTATCAGATGAAAATAATTCTCGTAATACGACAACGACATCCACAACTCAACAATCTAGTCGAATTATGTCAAATGTATTACAAATTGTTTATAGTCAAGAACGTGGGGAATTTAATTTGGATGATGTAACATATTATCTTGCAAATAAATGGTCAGAAAATGTTGACAGATATATGAAAGGTAACTGTTTTAAAATACTCTAATACTCACGTATAGAAGTAATCAGCGTACCCATAGTCGAATAGTACAGATTTTTCGTTTATATATAATTCTGTTAGACCCTAAAACTTCATAAATGATAACTTTTGAATTCTTGCAATACTACCACTATTAGCGAGGAAAATGATGAATTGATTGAAAATGAACATACGAATTAATAGAGAAAATTGTACCATTCTTTGGTCGATGACTACCATGTTAAACTTTTTTCCTTCTAGGTGATCCAAATATTCTATACATTGGTAGTAACAAATGAACAAGATATTTTTGCATTTATCAATGACAAAATATAAAAATAATTCTATTTACCATTGCTCAGTTTGTGCATTCTAGCCATTTATTATCGTCATTATTATTATTACTATTATTATTATTATTTCTGTTATATATGAGAATGAGAGATTAATTTAACTCTCAAATTAATTGTCGATGTTTCTTTTTGTTGTTGCCAGTGTGAGTGCTTTTACTTACGCTATTTTCATATATAGTCTATTCAATTTCGTTTGTGTAAAATTAATTTTTGCGAACAGTCGTTTAAAAACGTTTATTATTTGCACTTTCTGTGCAAAAAATTCTTCAGTTCTTATTCGTTCTTCATATAATTCTTACATATATTATATATATATACTGTACAATTCTGTTCATTTGTTTTTTTGCTTAGATTTTCTATTTGTATCTTTATCTTTATTACTGTTGCATCGATTATTGTTTTTTAGGATAAAAAGACAATTGATATGTGCGCCTACACGTATACACACGCACACACATACATACACACACACAGTGTCTAACAGCCCAATATTTTTCTCTTTGCTGCTTCTTTTTTATATCTTCAATGTGATAACTTTTTTCTTTTTTGTTTAAAATATGTAATCAATTTTTTTCTCAATTGAGATTTATCATCAATCCTATGTATTTTCAAGCGGATGTAAACTGCATCCATTCACCGACCTCGTTTCTTTTTCCGACTCTTCGTGTAATTGTTTGTGTTCGCTCGAAATGATTTTTGTTTTTTGTGTGTGTTTTTCTAACTCGTGTGAAAAAAAAATAAACAGTATTTGTCTACCGAGCAAATGCGCGTTAAATATTTCTAATTCGAACATAAAAAAACTACTTTAATGTTGTTTTTTTACTTGCTAAATATATCTATGATGTATGTGTGTGTGTAGTATATTCTCAACTTATGTACACATCTTTTTTTTTTTGTTAGATTTGCAGTTCTTCTAACACATTGTGTCGTGCCTTTATTGTCGTTTTTTTCTTCACAATTATTTGTTATCTAAAAATATAGTTTTTTTTTTTTGTTTGTTTTTTTGTTTGTTTGGCCGAGTGAGTCTCTCTATGTCCATTATTTGCCTTTACTCAATGACGAGCTTTTAAACAGAAAAAGAAAGAGATAGAGTGAATGAGTAACCATGTGGTGTATTAGTTTAATAAAATTGACTAGTTGTCATGCAAGGCAATAAATGCAGTTTGCAAAGATTAGATCCTATTTTTTTTAGTAATATTTCTCAGACAGTTCCCTGATTTTGTCTCCCTCTGTATTGTATGGGTGGTTATTAATTTTTTTTTTTTTTTGTTTGTTTCATCATGTATTTTTTTTCACGCAATTCAAGCTTGTTATTATTATTTCGTTTTTGAGCTTCTTTCCTTGTGTCTCATATCACATTCTCATTGTGTTGCGATTGCTGACTATTTTTGTTTGTTTTTTATTGATGAACACACCATATATTACACACTTACGAGAATCTTTTCCCTTGTTGTTGTCACTTACATCTCGAGTATTTTGTTTGTTTAGTTTTGGTTTGCTCTCTTGTTCTTTGTTTCTCTTTTTTTATATCTTTCTGTTATCGAGATTAGGTGATTTGTTACGTTTTATGTTTTTTGATGTTGCTTTTGTGTCGCTTTTTTTTCTTTTTCTCTCTCTCTCTTTCTCTTTCTCTCTCTCTGTCTCTTCCTCTCTTTCTATTTTAAACCAAAATACAAAATAAAAAAACATGGTTATGACACTTCTGCAAAAAAAGTTTCAAATCAACAAACAAATTGGGATAAGCAAGCGCAACATCTTGGATATCTTTTGATTTCTGTTTGTATGACAGAAAACCAAATAGCCTAAACTTAAGAATCAGCTAAGAGTCCTTATATTGATGAAAATCCTGGCTACGGGCCTGCGTCAGCTCGTCGACAAGAAATTCTGAAAGAATTAAAATATATTCAAGTCATCGTGTTTTGTGAAAAAAGAAAAAAAAGAGTTGAGGATAAGTGTCTTAAAAGGATATGCAGCATCAGTCTTATTTTTGAGCTACTGAAAACGTGACGATACGGTATTTGTGATAGGAAAAAATTTCAAAAGTCTTGAAAACTTGAACATCAGTACCCAAAAATGGTTTTAATTTATTTTACAATCATATAACATTTCTCTCGGTTTTTTTTACAGAATTTTGGCTAATTTTTGACAGTCTATCTGTTACATATTTTGAAATTCGTTTGTGTTCGTTTCTTCAGAAAAAATGATAACGCACTGATGCATTACTCTAGTCGGTCAATAAAATGAAGAGTCACGTGAATTGTCTGACAAATGGACTTCTAATTGACAGAAAAGTATTTTGTTGATATCATATCTTTGTGAAAATAAATACTTAATTTGACAAAATGTGGATGAAAATAGGTAGTACCAAGATTCCGCAGGAATTCTTTTAAAATCTGGTAAAAGCCTTATCTTTGTTAAACTGTAGGACTCTTTTATTGAGTACAATAACTTTACTAAGATTTGTTTGAATTTGCATACAATTTAAACTTTACCTGTTCTTCGAAATCTTCTGAAAATATGCATTTAATTTTTAAATCGTGTGGAAATGGCTGATAGTCTTTTTAACCCAACTGGGAGACAGTTCAATCAAATACACGGAGTTTTTCCTCGTTAATTGAATCTGAGAGATAATTAGTTCAGAAGTTTTGTGGCTCGACTCTTCCTCTTCATCGTATACCTTTGAGTTTATTATCGCTTAAACTCATTAAGTCGATTAAAACACAATCGGCTGCACTCGAAACTATCTTTTTCCGATTCTTATGCGTTGGAGTAAAAAGAGACACATGACAGGGACTCTCCAGCTTTAGGATCTTGCTGAAAGACTACCAGCTGTTTCCACATGATTTTTGCATTAGCATGTAGAAAAATGTTGAATCTATCATCATGTTCGATAGCAAGTTTTTCCGATAAAAAAAAATGATTAAAAAAGCGATGAAAATTCCAGACACTGTCTCTATTCATCCCAGACTAATGTACAATCGCATCCTCGGCTTCTTCCCTGAACTCTTAGTTAAAAGAAAAATCGAAAATGTTTCGCCAATATGTTACCTTAATATTCTGCCAATAAAAACGTCAATTTTGGAAATTTTGAACTATTATTTATTAATTACATTGAATTAAACTACTCAACTACATTTATGAGATTTTGAACCACAAGCTGCCTGTCAATGATTAGGCAAAATTCTCTTTCTACAATCAAAAATTCAATTGATTTTCCTTATGACTACATTGTTCATATGTAATAGACTCCAAATCATTTCAGATCTTTGGAATAGACATTTTACACATGTGGATCACGTGAACTTTCACATGTGGATCGCGTGCAGCTTAACATGTCGATCACGTGAAACTCTAAAGCATTATTTTTTGCACTGTGTTTTGTATGCGACTCACAGTGGGCATTCAGGCGGAAATTTGAGCAAAAATCGACAAGTGAGCTTTTTTGAATTCGAATAGTAGTAAATGTAGTCCTTGAAAAGCGCTATCGAATGGGTATATAATGATCGACTAGTAATGAACTCCTTCGATGAGTAAGTTAACTTACGAACATTCACAAAAAACACCGCCAAATATGACATATCTGCAAAGATTCTTATTTCTATGTACAGATGTGTAGAGACCTGCACGGGTTAAAAACACCTAACCCGAACCCGACCCGACTGCCAAAATGCCGACCCGCACCCGACCCAACCCGACAACAACTTAACCCGATCCGACCCGACCCGATAACATCTGAACCCGAACCCGAACCGACCCGATGAAAACAATCTCACCAGAAAACTGTGTTTGAGAAAGAATATAGACTTGCCTTGTTAGACAAAAGTTCTTCAGTGCATATTATAGAATCTCGTAGTTCAAAAAAAAATTTTTGAACGACGTCTGATTGGCCATTTCGTCTAAAAGGTTAATCTATTGAAAATTCCTCAGTACACTTTGTCAATAGATTATCTTAACCGAGATGATGACCACATCCTTTTTCTCATTGGTCAGTCAGTATCACCTAATACTAAGATAGCAAGTA